CAGGTCGGGAAATTAGAGAAAATGTAAAAGACACGCAACGACTTTTAGCTGATCCACTTTGGTCTGCAATTGCAGTGAGTTAGCCGTTTTGAGATACGACGGTCAGATGCCTATAATGTTGCTTATGAATTATTTAGAGTAGCTGTATTTACATTTAGATTTAATTTGTATTACGTGTAAGTTAGTCGTATCATTGGAATATGTTATTGCATGTTTATCGTTTATGTACAATATTAAAGATCAGTTATACATTGATGCTTCATGCAGTGATCGACTGAACACATTATTCTGGCCAGCCTCGTCATTTCATTTCAGAATAAACCATTTACTCCCGCACCGAGGTAACAGAAAAGTATCCCGAATGTCACATTTCCCAGGTCCATAAATTGAAGAAATTATTATGAGGTCATATACGTTTTAACAAAATAACCTGGCAATGCCTTTATTAGCTCGTTGTCAATAAACAACTGCAAATCAAATGAACAAAACTTCCAAAACTTACAAAAGTGGGCCCATTTACTACTATAACCAGGTGCGTACACATGGGGTGTTTGGGGGTTGAACCCCCCTTTAACTTTTGTAATGTGTGTGTTTTGGAGGACCCCCCCCCCCCTCTTTGTTTTTGTTTTGAAAAAGTAAAAAAAAAAGTTTAAAAAAAAATAATTGTGGTAATGGTTGAACAAAAAGGTAACCTTCCCCCCCCCCCCCCCCCCACAACGAAACGAAATATCGATCGACGAAATTTTCAAATTTAGAGACACAAAAAAAAAAAAAATGTGCTCTTATCCCCCCCCCCCCCCCCGCCTTATTCAGCGGCTGGCTGAGTCGTTGCGAAATGTTTTGGACACCGCTCCCCCCCCCCCCCCCCCCCCCCTCTCCCCCGCTTATTAAAGATAAACAAGACGTGATTATAATATATTCATGAGCTCGCTCGCGGACGATTTATCATGTCACGTTATCAGTACGCGGTTGATCAATCTCGGTGTCGTCGAAGAGGACGTTGCAGCACGTAGAAAACAGGGAAAAGTTGAACGATAACAGCATGAAGCTTGATGAAATTCAACAAAATCAGCAGACCCTAGTAAAAAAGCCAACACTTGCTTGAATATAAAAATCAGAAACTGTAAAGTTGATATATATGTTTCGAAGAAGAAAATCTGAAAGTAGAGGCTACAGTCCAGAATGATATTGTGGCACTATGCTCCAATATGGAGATGGAATTATATGGCAGGGTTCGAAGCAATGGCAGCTGGGCAGAAAATGAGCTGGATACTTCAAGCTTGCTAGCTATAAAGATGCTCAATAAAAGTTTGACCTCCCCTCTCTCTAATAGCCCCATGCTTCAAACATGGCTTATAATTATATCCATGCTTCAAGCAGGGCATGTGAGTTAACTCACCTCCCTGCTTCAAGCATTCGGTGGTAGGTGCTTCAAGTCTCAAAGTTGTATTCAACTGTCCAGACCCACATCATCTCTTCCTTCCAATTATAGGACCATGCTTGCACCCGTAATTAAACAACCCACGCTTTGTCTCAAACCCAAATACTCCCAGCCAGCTATACAAGTTAGTATCCGTTTTTACAGCGTTATAGCGTTATAGCGTTATACCAAAGAGATAGCTGGTATCTCTTTGGTTATACCATGTAGTAAGTCCATGGTTATACACAGGTCCGAAGTCAATGATTGTATGCATTTCAATTACTGCATGGTAATATTAAAGACGTCACATACACAATGTAAACATTATACTCTCAGGCATTTGTCTTTTTCTTAATTAGGAACAACAAAGACAGAAATGAGAACTCTAAACCCACTCTATAAAACAGTTTGCTATATACTACTTCAATAATAACTAAGGCATGCATGCGTCACAACGATTTGGTAAATGACCCATTTAACCTAAATAATATCATAAATTAGAAGTATTCATATTATTAGACTCGGTGATACAGCACAATCACCAATAATAATTAAGAGACTTTGATATATAGCAAAGCATAATGCTCGCCTTTTCTTAGTACGACCAAGGAGATTAACCATGGATTAACAGCTAGTAGCCACATCGTGAAGGGACACATTCTACCTGCTAACACCACTAAGAAGATAGGGTCCTATATTAAAGGCAGTAGACAATGGGGAAGGGACACCAAATTCTCTGGGAGACAATATAATCCCAAACACTGTGTCCAGTGTTGTTGACGCGGTTAAAGCCCTACCAAATAAAACTATCCACCATGCAGGCTGTTTGTGAGCAAAACCATTTTGCACTAAACTGCATAAACAGCACAAAAGCAGAGGTTTGTTTCTTACAATGGAAGTATGAGATGAAAAAATAGATAGGAAGAGAGAGAGAGAGAGAGAGAGAGAGAGAGAGAGAAAGGGGAGAGGGGAGGGGTATCAAACGTGTAATGAAATAAAGGGGGGGGGGGGTGATGTAATCATATAGGACATCACAAGAATTAATAACAACATACTCTCTTTAAAAAAGAGAGTGAATTTTCACTCTATTTTCACTTTCTTGGGAGTGACGTCCGTGATCACTTGTTTAGGAGTGAAAATCGATTGATTTAATGGTCTCTCTAAGAAGAAAAGAGTGAATGTTCACTCTATTTTCACTACATTTTCACTCTCCAGAGGAGTGACGTCCGTGATTTTGAAAATTCACTCTTTTTTTAAAAGAGAGTATGCTGACTTGAGTAACTGCCATTTTTATGGGGGTTGCTTAAAATCAAAGCATATTCAGGATTGGATAGACCAGGATCGAAGCTGTGACTCCCTATAGCTGGTACTGGTTAGGTAGAGCCACAGAGGTATTATGACTTGTATATACATTAGTGATTTGCTCAAACCTCCTCACCCTGGTAATAAACTATTTGAAGAGCTATTCTTGATTATGATATTAGTGCACAGGAAAGGAGTAAATAAAATTTGTAAATGAAAAATATAGCAAATAACTGGTTAGTCACCTCTGACTTAACCCACATGAAACTGTTGATGAATTGAAATTAGAACCACTCCTTTGAAAATTCCAAAATATGCATACAGTGTCATGTTAAAACCAGGTGTTTCCACTCTGATGAGAGAAAACCCATGTAAATAATTTTAAATCCACCATATATAGTACACGTATGTGCGCTCTTTTTTTAATTTTTAATTTTTCAATTTTTTTTATTTTTATTTCAAGCAGTTATTTCATAAAGCAATAGGGTTAAGTGATGGAAAAGGGGACACTTATCGAAAGGGATAAAGACACTTATTAGAAAAGAAAAGGAGTACATGTCAAAGTACAAAGGGTAATTTTATGAGGTAAAAATGGGCACTTCTTACACCTGTAATGAGGCACTCACCAGAGATGAAAAAGGCACTCAAATGGCAAATGGGCATTTGTCAACGGAAAAGGGGCACCCATCGGGTTTTGATAGAGGTATTTATCAGAGGTGAAAAGGGGCAATTATGAAAAGGGGATAGGCCCCATATTAGAAAAGGAAAAGAGGCACGTATATCATAGGAAAATATCAGAGGTGAAAAGGGGCACTGATCAGATATAAAAAGGGGCACTTATGAGAATGAAAAAGGGATAACTATGAAAAGGGGAAGGGTACTTATAAAAAGGGGGAAAAAAGAGCATTCATTAGAAAAGAAAAGGGGCACGTGTCAAAATAAAAGGGGTATTTTATTAAAGTTGAGACGGGGCACTCATCGGAGATGTAAAGAGTACTCATTAGAAGGAAGAAGGGGCCCTTGTCAAAGTAAAACGAGCATCTCTCGGATTTGAATAGGGGCAATTATCGGAGGTGAAGGTGGCCCTGATCTAAAGTGAAAAGGAGTAGCTTCTCGTATCCGAAAAGGGTCATTTAGCAGAGAGGAAAAGGCCGAAAGGGGCACTAACGAGTGGGGGAAGGGTCTCTCTTTTTATATATGGGGGTACTTATTATAAGAAAAAGCACTTATTATAAAGGGAAAGGGGCACATGTGAAAAAATGCGCGCTTATCCGAGTTAAAAAGGTGTATAGTTTTTTTTTAAAGGGAAAGGGGCACTTCTTACAAAGTAAAAGGGGCACTTATCGAAGTGAGGGGCATGCACCTCTCAGATTTGAATAGGCCTAGGGCAATTATCAGAGGTGAATGTGGGCACTAATCAAAAGTGAGAAGGGGCACTTCTCGTACCTGAAAATGTGCACTTAATTACTAGAGATTAAAAAGGGCACCTAGAATATGGACACTTATCGAAATAAAAGGGGCACTTATCAGAGGTGAAAAGTAGAAGGGGCACTTTTCCTATGTGAAAAGGGGCACTTTCCCTACACTTTGACGGTACTTGAAAAAGTGGGGGGGGGGGGGCACTGTGTTCCCTGCCACCCCCCCCCCCCCCCCGGAGCGTTGCACTGTTTAGGTTGTATGCTGTTGTATATTGCTGCTGCTTTTTTTATTGACTTGATTTATGTTTAACTTTTTTGTTATCGACAAATTCTGAAAAAACCCCAATAAAAACACTAAAAATAACAGAAAAATATTCATATGGAGTTGCGTATGTTTCTGCAATAGAAAAATACAATTCATATATATGACAAACAAAAACAAATAATGAATATCAATGTACAATCAACAGAGACAAATATGACATCGATTAGCTAAATATGTTAATTTGCTGGGTTAGTCTTATCCAATGTAATGTTTTATTAAAAAGTGTTCTTTGGTCTACTTATGTCTTTCGGATAGTGACGTTAAAGGTCGGTCCCTAGACGTAAATATTCATATCTGATTGATACTTTTTTTTAAAACGACTCATTACACGCAGAAACGCATACACACACACACACACACACACCACACACATGGCCTGGATATTTTTTCTTGCTTGCTTAATTATTTCGTAATTCCGGACAAATCACTCTCTTTGCGCGCGCTGCATGTGCAATACAATTCTCCATGCATGGTCCATGTCTGTGTGCGTACGTACGTACGTACACATGCAACATAATTCGAAAGTCAGACATGCCAGAAGTGTCAACAGCTCAGGTAAGTAAAGATAATTTGGCACTTAAATTCGCTATTTTTAAAAATCAACATCGATACCGGTGGTATTTAGATTGTAAGTTTTCTTGTCGTGTTGAAATGAAACATTATACCATGTACTGTTATTGGGATTTTGAGTCTTGAGTGACCTAACCAAAATTATTACCCGAAATTTATCGACCTCGGCCCTCGGACGAGTCGGAGCTGAGCTGAGTTGACGCTTCAAAAATCAAGCTTTGCCTCGTGCTGCATGCATGCTGCGCCCGTAATCAAAAGTGGCTTGGCCTAATGTCCCAGTGCATTGCAGTGTTGCAGCAGTGACAAAAAAATCAAAGATGTCCAGATTCACCCCAAATTTAATAAATTCGAACTTCAACATTCAAGTTCAATCGAAGAATGGCCGTTACCAAAATGCCATTAGTCTACATCAATACATAGAGGTCTAATCAATTATTTTTAGTTTGAACAATTCTCATTTTCGTCATAAGGTAGACAAGATCTAGATCTAGATACAAACTGGAAATTTATTCTGAGATGTTCGTTGATTTTTCTATTTTATGTGTGTGCAATGCCGTGTGTGTGTGTCAGTTATGTGTGAAGTGCGTCGCCTAAAAAGCATGACATGTCAAAATCTCTGTGGTGTGATGACGTAATAGATCTATTACATATTGACTTTGCCATTGAACTTAAGTTAAGTAGACCTCTAGGCCTAGACATTTTCTAGGCCCTCTAGGCCTCTTTCACTTAAATTCAAAGCCACTCGAGCAGATCGACCAATGAGAGTTCAATGCAAATTAAGCGCTCAATGTGCAAAATTCTTTGTGTAAGACTTAGAAAATATCTAGTGTTTGTAATTTGTAAAAAATGTTTTTAATTTTAAAATCTACACAAATTTATTCATTTCAATTATTACTAAATGGACCGTAAAGTTTTTTACTACAAATTAGTTCAACTAGAAAATTTATTGTAAAAAGATTCCAGAGATATTGCGATCTAAGAGATTCCAGAGATATTTCATGTCGGATCGGCGTGCACACTGTATTTAAACTGAAAAAAGTCATAAAAACAACAAGATCTTACTTCGCGCAAGGGGGGGTTTACTGCTGATTTATCTCCCACTGCAAAAATGGTCAGTTTTTGCAGGTTTAGGGGTAGGGTAAGGCCCAGAGGGTAAAATGAGAAAAAAATGACCGTTTTTGCAGTGGATCAAGTTGTCCCCTGGTCCAGGTTAGCCTGGATCCACCAAAAATGAGGTAATTTCATAACTCGCAAGGCAAGATACCATTTTTAACTTACAATTTTGAGGATATCTGCTCTCAAAATGAAGATTTCCTGAGCTATATTGCTTAGTTCATAATTTTTTGGAACATACACAAATGATTGAAAAATTTACCGATCTTCTGTCAATATTTTCATAATTTTGCACCCAATTCCAAAGAAAGTTACGTCTCTGGGTAATTGTATGTTCCTCTTCCCATTGGTAATATTTTTTGAGATACCGGTAGGGAAACAGTTGTTATATAGATCAGACGATCATATATTAGATAGCTTAGACAGATACCGAGATGTGATTGGTCCAGAGCTCGTCGCGTGTTATCGATTGCTAGGATCTTAATTGTTAAATATTCCTGGCTGGTCACTTTCCAGTGTTATATTCACCAGCTGGTGAAATATTTGTAATCAATGCATGTCGCCCTCTTGAGGACTGTTTGTCACCAATAACACAAATTCCACCAATACAGACTATTGAGGGTCAATTCTCTCTCCCCCCCCCCCCCCAATTTAAAAAAAATGTTTTGTTTAATTGTTGCGAAAAAAAGTGGAAACAGTTTTGGGCAACACAAAATGTACTCCCTCCTCTAAATGTTCTAACCAAGGCTATCTATATATAACAGGGGGGTGTTTCATAAAGCTGTTCGTAAAGTTACGCATGACTTTACCAACGACTTGTATATGAACCTGTTATTATTGGTACAGACCGCCAAACTCAAATCTTGCCATTCTTCTATCATTTGAGACGTTGTTATAAAAGATTGATGTATTGAAGAACAGTGAATGCATTATTGTGGGTGACATGAATTGTGATGTTTTGAAAACGGACAAAGCTCCTTATACGAATCATTTGTGTCAAACAATGGAAAAGTTTAATTTCAATCAGTGAACAGGTTGTATAATTACTTTCACGACTAGAGTTACACTTAATACTATGTCAATTATTGATTTGATATGGACAAATGAACGTGATTGAATTATGAAGGCATTTGAAGAGCCATGCTTTTCAGGACTATTTTTTCTCTGATGTTGTTCCACACTTGCATAATAACAATGAAAATGCTCACAAATCATTTTTCACCTCTCCCTGAACTCAACCTTCTCTTTAAAGGTACTACAAAGTTTTGGTATGGGGTCATGAATTTGGTCCAAATGAACATATTGGAAGTATATGCGATTTTACAATATTCAATGATGGTTGTCGTGGTTGAAATCGAGTCTAAAGTGATGAAATTGTTAATAATAAACTCATAAACTGTTGTATAGCCCCCTCTAAAGACTGATATTAATTAGCTCTAAAACAATGTTTCTTGACTACGGTCGACCGATTCGCTATTCCCGTTTGGAAATTAGATATCAGAATTGCATTTTTTTCAGATTTCCATGGTCGCAGCTCTACTACCAAGGAATGGCCTTGGGCGCTATTTGAAATTTAAAGGGAGCACGGTAAATTTTTGATTATTCAATTTCTCAAAAGCAGAATTGTTTTAGGGGCGAAATTTTCTGCCGTTTATACCGGTAATACATCCACAGGGGCATCCAAATATATCAAAATTGTAAAGAATTACTGAAATCCAATTTTCATAATTTCCCAAAACTTTGCATTTGATACCTTTAATAACCATCGTAACAACAACGCTATTCATAACAATGGAACCTAGGTTGAAAGAATCAATAGCCTTCCAGGGAATCAATAGCTTTTAGAGAAAACGGTCCATTGAACTCTCCATAGCCTGGAGTGTTTAGGATGGCTGATACAGTACACACACACAAACATACACACACACCCACCCACCCACGCACCCCAACATACATGCCTTCCACCTCATGGAATAGACTTTAGTGGGTCCTAATCCCCTGGCCCCCTCTTTCTATCCACACATTAGTTCAAACACCTCTGACACACACACATGTCTACAGCATTGAGAATAGGGTAGTATGGTCAGTGAAGTTCTCATGCCATTAGTGAACAATAGGTGGAGTGTCCAAGTGTGCTTAATTCCATCTCCATTTAGACTTCTTGAAATTTGTACATGTATGTATATCTATTGTAAGCCATTGAATGTACCTGAGGTAAGTGTGTGTATACATTATTCTTATTCCTTCTGAATCATGATTAAAGCAATACCATAGAGAAAATGTTTGACTGAAATTGTACCTAGCTTGTTTTGATTGTGATCGTGACTGGTAGGTGGTCTGGTTAATGCCCATGTGCCCGGGTCTATGCTTGTGTGTCTGGGTTGTTGTAGTAGGGTCTTCTAGCCTGGCTGGGTATGGATATTACATGCATGGCCCGGCTAGGCACAGATGGAGTCCATGTTGTTTTTAATATTATTTTGAAGTAAGATGAGATGTACTTGCAGTAATCAAGCTTTGGAGTAGACATTACCTGATTAGAAACAAGTCATTCCCTAGACTTATTCCTAGATGGGACCAATTAGTCTAAACACATTAGAACGATAACCCCCCCCCCCTCCTTTCATTCAATCTGGCTGAATACACCCTACCAGTATAACATGTCCTTTGTATTAGTTGGTCATTATAGGTCAATCTGGCTGAATACCACCAACCAGCATGTCCTTTGTATTTATAGTTGGTCACTATACGTCTTAGAATAATCCCTCTTTAAAATGTATTACCTTTAGAATGGATGTTGAGAGAGACTCTACATTCTCACTCTACTAGATAGTTGGGGAAACAATATTCTTTGATTCTTTAGTCTTCAGACTTCACTCTCTCTGTGCCTTTCTCCATACAGGCTTTGGTAGAGGAGTACAGTAGAACCAAGTTCTCATACCAAGCCACTTTTGTATCGTAAATACATGGTGAACCGTCTTATTTTGGCTTCAATTTCAAAGATCAAACTTGTTGTTGTTATTCTCTTATCTTCTTATACTCCTGACTAGATAGGCCTGGATTGAAGGCATTGTTATAAACAATGTTTCCTGTTTTACAAATCTGAGATGCATGGCTCTACGTGCTATCAGTGTCAGTGATATGGTGTATTATTGAAGCCCTTTAAAAAAATTGCGCTTCAAAAATGATCATGAAGTGCTTCAAAAAAGTAAAAATCTTTTGTTGACCGGTTTTACCATACTCATTTTTCCCAATAGACTATAGTGTTATAAAAATTGTTGTGAAAATGGTTTATAATTTCTAATGGCAATCATAAATATCTTGATAATCAGACAGGCGATCGGCTTGTAAAAGAAATGGGAATCTTGAGTGACCTAAAGGTTTATAATTACGATTGCAACATGAGCTAAGTCCAGGATTTTTGTCTCATTGAGAGATGTTGCAAAATTGCTTAAATTTTTACATTGTTCTGAACAAACAAAACGTGTGCTATTTATCTATGCAGAATCCTACGGTAGACATCGTAAGGATTACGCACGTAAAACATTATCATGGTAGACCTTTATATAGGGCGCTTGTTAAGAACTGTGACCATACTTAAGACCTGTGACTCCTGCATGGAGATACCTTTTCAGCACACCAACAATCGTCTAAATCTTACACAATTGCTTTTTTCCTTAAACCTAAAGACATTAGTATACACTTTTTCACAGGTTTCACGGCAAACCGCTTTACAATACAAGTGCATACCGATGGTGGTTTTCGCCCCGAGCCCCTGTATATTTTTTTCACTGGGCTGGATAGAGCTTTCTCACATTTGACATTATTTTCATCCATGTATAGTGATGTACAGTGCTAATATTATACCTCTAAATGTCAAAATCTGGTGAAAAGTAGAAAGAGAACATAGGATCCAATTTGATTGCAGAATGAAAGAGTCATGCTTAAAAACTCAATATCACTGTGAAGAGATACTTCACTTTTTTCATCCCGTTGGTATAAAGTTAATGTATGATGTTACTTGCATAAGTTTTGTTTTGTATGGAAAGCAAAACACCGAGGATTGATTTTAAAACTTTAATTTAATTCTTATTTTTTTTGCAGCATCAAGCGTAGCAGCGGCAAAGGCAACCAGCGTAGCAGCGGCATCAAAGCGGAAAAGCACTAAGACCCAAGGATGTCGCAACCAACAGGCAGAGCCAGGGGAAGGGCAAGGGGAAGGGGGAGAGCTACAGCCCCACCTCAAGGAGCGGGGGCACCAAGCATGGATCGTCGGCCGGGAGAACAAGCACCCCCACCGATGCAGCAGGCAGCACCCCCACAGGAGGCATCCAGTGGCATGCCGGTACCTGGGAGAGGGAGGTCACGTGGAGGAACGACTCAACCAGGACCTGGAGGTATGCTTGCATGAATAAAGTGTGTTTAGGGTTCCAGGGGGGTGTTTCACAAAGACTAAGATCGACTTTCAATTGGACTTAACTATGGCAGGCAGTTCATGCCACTGTTTGCTCTTACCATTCACTGGCATTGGTCTCTGAAGGGACATATAAATCGTGGTCACAAATCTACAGAATTTACATTTTTTTAAACAAATATCTAAAGATCATAATTGAGAGACCAATAGTGAGAGCAAGCAGTGGCATGAATGGCCTGTCATAGTTAAGTCCAACTTAAAGTCGATCTTAGTCTTTGTGAAACACCCCCCCAGACATCAAAATATCAGCTCAGAGAGACTGAGTTAGAGAGATGATGCAATGGAGATGAGAATTCTGTCAGACTGTGGTTGGTATGACATGGTCTGATCACTAAGTATTATATTCGCTAGTGAGAACTTGAATCGCATCAATATCTAGCTAATCAATCTGCAGTGGTGCTTCATTAAAAACTCAAGTAGAGCACAGTTTTTTTGCGTAATATTTTGGATGAGAGGTGTAAAACAGTTAATTGGGACAAAGTGTTAAGAAATTTCAAAGAAATCTTTATTAGCTGATCTTTTGAAGTGAAGAGAAACATTGTCTCAAGGCAGTATGAAAAAAATCACTAATCCAAACTATGTACATTGAATGCTTTCAGCCATTAATATTTCTTCCTTTCTGGTTTGATTGCTAGCTGTGCCCAAGCAGGAACCTAGAGGGGAGCTCACGAGTCAGATTGCTAAGTTGGCCATTGGAGCCAGCGGTGAAGGAGGAGTCGGGGGCGTGGTGCAGGATAGGCGCAGGAGAAGGGACGAGATTGAACTAGAGCCGACCACTCGACCTGAGAACTTTGTCAAGCAGGGTAAGGGACAAGTGATTGAAAAAAAACACACACCCCGAAACACACCATGCCACACTTACATTTAAAGATAAAGTTGAGTTCTGGTCATGCGATTGCGTTGTGAAAGAAACGTTGTGGAATCGATCAGAAAAGGTTGATCATCTAGCATATATAAGTATTGGTGTGTACTGCAAGGTTGTGGAATCACCAAAATGATAAGAAAATGTGGCCAAGTCTTACAAGCACTGTACACAGAAAGATGTATATGGGACTACATGAACATGTGGCATAAAAATCCTTCCCGATTTGTATGATGTTACATGCCATATAGGCATTTGAAGAGCCATGCTTTTCAGGGAACATTTATTTCTCTGATGTTGTTCCACACTAACATAATACAAGCATAACGCTCACAAATTATTTTTCACCTCTCCCCAGAACTCGACCTTCTCTTTAAATGGAATACAGTGAGCTTAATACCCTTCACTCACCTTATAGCACACACATACAGAAGTGCTATTGTAGGCAGCTCCCCCCCCCCCCCCCCCCCCCCCTCCGCCCACATTCACACAATAATATCTCTTGCCATTCAATCGACAATTCAGGGTAACGTGTAGTTGTGGTCTGGTGGTTACATTGTGAACAAAACCGTCTAGAGGCAAACATTTGCGAAAGGTTGATTGTGTACAATATTGGTGTATACTATGAGGTTTTTGTCTCGCCTGAATAGCAAAATCAAGTTAATCGCCTGCATAGCAAAAGCGAGACAAAGGCACCGTTTTACGGCGGCGGCGTCAACATCTTTTTCTATAATTTTGAAAGCATAAGTGCTTTTTCAATAAAACTTGGACTAAAGAGTTGTCAAGTATCCCCAATCATGTGAGCAGAATTTTAGGTCACCAAGTTAAGGTCAAAGGTCATTTTAGGTCAACAAACTTGGACAAATACACAAACATGTGGCATCAAAGCTTTGCAACAACATTTCGGCCATTTCTTGTCATATTTTGAATATTGAATATTAAAGCCTTCGAAGAGCGATCTTGTTGAGGGGGATATTTTTTCATTATATTCTTCCCAACGTTCATAAAATGACTGAGAATGCTGATAACTTTGACCAGTCAAACCTACCTTAGCAACCACCTGTCCATAACAACCACTAATGATTCCCCCGCAGAGAATTCTTGTACTAACTAACCTGCCTTACGTGGTCAGATACAACTCATTTTGACGCTGCAAGTGTTGCCACATCGACCGCCTGCACCAGTGGCAGGGCTGTCAGCACCGCTGTGTGAAGACCAGACACACAGAAATGCATCCAAAAACAAGTGGCTATCATAGCTAAGATTAGAAAACATCTATTCAATCATGAAATGTCAGTCAAAAAACATTAGACAATCGTTACAATACCTACAGGGAATGTTTTTCGCACACATTATTTTCATGGCTATCCAATTAGCGTGCATGCGTAAACAATAACATTGACATCGTTAGTTCATTCGTAGAGCAATAGACGATGGTCAATGTCATTCCCGGGTTCCATTTGTGATGTCAGGCTCGTTCACAGTTACTCATTAAACTTGTTCATTATTAATTTTTTTTAGGAAATAAATCAGAATAAAATATGCAATACAAATATTTGTACTATAGTTTAAATTGTATCCTTCTTATTAAATGATAATTTGAAGAAAAAAGGAGATTTTTTACCAACACTGATGAAAATGGCTGTGTAAAATTTTTACTTGCACCCCTCAAGATTGATCAGATCAGGGCATCGGAAATTCATAAGGTGATTATACATTTGTTCCTTGTTCCTCTCTACAGCAATTGCTGGAGATAAGATTGCACTGATCGCAAACGGCTTCAAGTTGAAGACTAAACCAGACTGGCAACTCTACCAGTACCGGGTTGACTTTGAGCCTGAGATCCTGAACCCCAGAGCTCGTTTTGCCCTCCTGAAGGGCCACAGTGCTCTTCTTGGTAAAGGGTTAACGCTTGATATGGACACCATGTATTCTCTTTTCAAGCTAGCAGAAAAGGTAAGTGCCTCATCTCTGTTACTTAGACAAAAGCACCCTGAAAGCTGTTTGATGTGAAACTGTATTTAGTGCTCTTCAAGGCAGAAAAAGGCATTTCTGAAAGACAATCCTTCTAGTTGCAGGGGAAGATTGGTTTCCGGAAGGGGGGACTGAAGTGTAAATAATATCACCCCATCAATAAGTTTGATGTGAAATTATTTTAGATTATTCTGTATCATCAAAAGGTTTCCTATGAGGTATTCTATTTTTGTTTCAGAGAAGGGTTTGTAGAATGAAAAATCATTCATTCATCATTATTTTCTTTACTATTTGCTGAATGTGTTGTGAAGGTAACCAACCTGAGCGCAGAGAGGAAGGATGGGTCTAATGTGAATATCTGTGTGACTCATGTTGCTACTCTGAACCCCATGGCACCAAACACCCTGCATCTCTATAACGTCCTCTTTAGAAGGTAAGATTGGGTTAAGCATACACACAGTTAACGACTGGATTATTCATAACCTCTCAAGTTTGATGTTTTTTGTGTTTATCGTAACTCAAGAATGTTGTTGAATACTTTTATAAGTAAGCTTTGATATATCAAATTCTCAAGAAACATAAAGCAAGACATATCAATTTTTCACGTACTTAAATAATTACCAATCTTGGTAAGGGTGTGAATAATTTAGTTAACTGTATTGGTGAAGGTGAAAATAACAGTCATTATAGTTGCTTCCTTGACCATTCCTAGAATATGCTAATTCACATTGTAAATGATTAATTCAAGTTGTAACTGCATGATCGAGTCCAATAGTGGTATCTTATTACAAGGCTTGTTACAAAATCTTTCAGGTTTTCCTATTAAAGAGCAGCTACAAAATGTAGTTAAACGTCTTGTATGATTTTTACTCACATGCTAAATCTTGAGCATGTGTACTCAATTTTGGAGTTTTTTGCAGTACATGTCTTTTGGAAGAAAAATGTCTGGAAGAAAAGTGTGAAAGCTATATGATGTGAACTTTAAACTTATAACTAGTATGCATCACTGTATTACTTGACAGGAGACAATTAATCAAATTTGGGGATCTTCAGGTCAAAGGTCATGAGGATCAATTGACATTGAATTGTTCTCAACGTGATACTCCATTTGCCTTGTTTAAAGATAAACTCCAGTTCTGGTAAAAAAAAAAAAAAAAATTCTCACAGAATCAAACGAAACTTACACTGAATGTTCAAGATTACAAATAAATGACATGTGCCAAAAATTTTTGGAAGAAAATGTATACTGGCTGAGTAATGAGCATAGACAGACAAGGAAATCAAGGTAGTACTAGCCCCGACACCATGTGTGTTGTCCCATATATAGCTTTCTGTGTACAGTGCTCGTTACTTTACCAAGACTCGGCCAAATTTTGTATGATTTTGATGACTCCAGAACCTTGCAGTGCACACCAATACTTACATGCTACATGATCAACTGTTTCTGATCCATTCCCCACCTTTTCTTTCACAATGCAATCGCATTACCAGTACTCACCTTTATTTTTAACTATGAAAGAGTGTAAAAGAAAGATTACTGTTGCTAATTTGAGGAGTTACAGCTGATTCATTTAGACCTTTACGCAACTCTGAACTGTTATGGGTTAAAGTGTCATTTAATGCTTTGTGTATGTCAGATCAGTCAGACTGGTCGAGTATAGACCTGAATAGAGAGTTAATTTTTATTTTGTATGTACAGGTGTTTGAAGATGATCAACATGGAGCAAGTTGGACGCAACTACTATGATCCTACGGCCGCCATTGACATCAAGCAGCATGGGTAAGTCTCTGCTCAATTTTTGTCTCACCTGCGTAGCAAAAAGCGAGACATAAGGGACTTTTCGATTTGCACGTTCACTAGTGGACTGCGATGTGTGCGGTCGACGAGCTCATCGTTCGTAGCAGAATTCTCGAACGCGTTTGCCTTTGTTTTGCCGTCGTTCGCAAACTGTGACGATACATGTTCGTAAGCAATCTTTTGTAGGCACGAAACAACACATTGAAGTCACAAAATGGACCCAATTGACCTGATTCTAGAACCGGGGAGTGGTGGAAGCATGAATTCTCTTAAATTAACACATTTTCGTGTCTGTAATTTCCCTTAAATCAAAATTGTTGCAGAATAATTCATGAAATGAACACATTTTATTTATGCATCGCTAATCTGTTGCAGCATAATTTTTGAAAACAGTCCCATGCACCAAATTTGGTGTTGGATCTTTAGCTATTCGATCGAATTTCGCTCTCACTAAGCGAGCGTCCTAGTTGTCTAAAATCGAAAAGGTAACGAACAACAGTCGGCGTGCCTTGTCAACCCTGCTTAAAAATGACTGCATACGCTGCAGTCCACTTATGAATGTGCAAATCGAAAAGTCCCTATTGGCGCCGTTTTTTCGGCGGCGACGTCAACATTTTCAAAATAATTTTGAAACTATAAGTTCTTATTCAATGAAACTTGGACTAAAGGGTTATCAAGTATCATCAATTATGTGATTAATCTTTTAAGTGACGAAGTCAAGGTCAAGTGTCATTTCAGGTCTGCATACTCTGTTGTAGCATCAACATCAAGATTTTATTTTTTTTTTTTTTGTGGGGGGGGGGGGTTGTTTTCATCTTGTAGAGCTTGCTAAGTGAAATACTCTGAACTCTACACAGAATATCAAAATTTTGCTTAAAACAATTACTTATGATTTAGTTAGACATGTAGACATAAGCGTTATTCCTGTCTCTCCTGTAGAAGTATACTGTATGACGATACCATCTTGTTTACATTTGATTTCTATCCTCTTGCAGGCTGCAGCTGTGGCCAGGGTTCGTGACATCCATCCTTCAGTACGAGTACGACGTGATGCTGCTGTCTGACATCAGCCACAAGGTTCTGCGTACCCAGACCGTCTGGGAGGTCATGAATGATCTCTTCAACAAAGCTAGGGGCAGGTTCAAGGAGGAAATCACAAAGCTCATGATTGGACAGATTGTCCTCACAAAGTAAGATTCGTTTGAAGCCCCTCTGCACTACTTATAGCTACTTGCGCCTTCTATATAGCAAACGATGCCTAATCGGTGCCTGTTGGTCCCCCATTTTTCTTATGTTAATTGAGAGCTGATTTGATGAGATAACCACCTGTCAGTCACCTTGCAGCGAGGTCTAGCCCCCTTGGCCAAACTAGTGCAGACAGGCTTTAATCAACCCTTACTGTACCGCTTGGAATTTCGAATTGTCGTTTCATGACTTTTTTCCCTCAAGTCGTCTGACGCATATTTTGATACCATTTTCGTCGAAAACTTATATACCTGTAAGGTGTTACATAACAATTAGTATGCGCCTGTCATCAAAAAGTGCTATATAAATACAGGTTTAGATGTATTTCTTCTGAAGTGGAAGATATGAATTGATATCAAATTGCTTTTATATGTTTCTCAAGTAACTTGATGTATTCCAGAACAAAAGAATACATTATAAATAAAACAATAATAATAATTAATAATAATAATCTTTTAAAGTCCACTCCAAATTTTATTAAGTTAAACCGAAAATGGAAATTCTTTTTGCCCAATTGATCGTGAGCCCGGCCGCCACTGAGCAGCGCCAGATCGACGTTGCTCTATCCCCTTTCTTTATGGAGCCATGTGTACCTAACTGCATGTGGTATATGTGAGCTCAATAAAAGTGTATTTTGTCAGGATGGTCAAATCATAGTTTTTAGCATTTCCGAAAAGAATACGCTTTCTTCTATGTAATTTCAAATTTGGATGTACCAGATAATCTAAAAGTGTTATCCATCCTATGTTTGTCTGGTCTTGGGTTTGTTGTAATAATCTAAGTTTCTTTACAATCCTCGCTACTGGTCTCGCTTAGATCTCCTTTAAGTTCAAAATAGAGCAAGCTGTTCCGTAGATGTCTGCTCTTCAAAATAAAGAGCAGAATGTACTTAGTGTGCCAAGCTTTAGGACAATCTGATAGTCCCTTCACATAAATGTAATCCTCGTTTTATCATGTTCAACCTGGCAGGCAGAATTCTTCATCATATGATTTATCTTGGGTATATCTAGCTAATTTCAGGTGTTTTTGTGGTGGGTCACATACTGTATATATCCCATTAGTTGGACATGTCAGTCGAATGCTTGAAATGATTGTAATTGGGCAACTGCTTTGCTATGTACTACACAAGTGTACAAGGATGAGCACCAACTACCATTATAACTGCTCACAGTTTTGAAATGCCATTGGGTTAATAACGTGTTGTTTTTGTCTCGCCTGCGTAGCAAAAAGCGAGACATAGGCGCCGCTTTTCCCGTGGCGGCGTGGCGGCGGCGGCGTCAACATCAAAACTTAACCTAAGGTTAAGTTTTTGAATTTTTGATATAATTTTGAAAGTATAAGTTCTTGGTCAATGAAACTTGGACTATAGGGTTATCAAGTATCCCCAATCATGTGATTAGAATTTCAGGTCACAAAGTCAAGGTCATTTCAGGTCAACAGACTTGGACTATGTTGTGGCATCAACATCAAGATTTTTGTCTCGCCTGCGTAGCAAAAAAAGGGGACATAGGCGCCGCTTTTCCGGTGACGGCGACGGCGGCGGTGGCGGCGTCAACATCAAAAACTTAACCTTAGGTTAAGTTTTTGAATTTTTGATATAATTTTGAAAGTATAAGTCCTTAGTCAATGAAACTTGAACTTCAGGGTTATCAAGTATCCCCAATCATGTGAGTTGAATTTCAGGTCACAAAGTCAAGGTCAAAGGTCATTTCAGGTCAACAGACTTAGACTTTGTTGTGGCATCAACATCAAGATTTTGAATTTTTAGCATATTTTCAAAAGTGTTTGTTCAAATTCCATGAAACTTGTACCCAAGGGTTATCAACTATCACAAGTCATGTGACACAAATTCTAGGTCACAAGGTCAAAGGTCATTTTAGGTCAGTAGACTTGGATTATGTTTTTACAACTTAATATGAGAATTAATAAATCAATTTTTTTATTAATTTGTTCATATTTCATTCAAGTTGTCGATCGTGGTACAATTAATAGTAAATAATTCTTCTGATGATTCTTAGTCAATATTCACTTCAAAATGCTGATTATATTCAGAGGATTTCATTTTGTGGGGCCTGCTAATGGGTCACCCTGCCTATAAATAATGTTCCAACCTCAATTTTTTTCATCATATCGAATTGCGTAATGCAGGCGAGACCGCCGAGAGCGTTTTCCTTGTTAATTTTTAGCATATTTTCAAAATTGATTGTTCAAATTCCATGAAACTTGTACCCAAGGGTAATATGAGAATTAATAATTTTTTTATTAATTTGTTCATATTTCATTCCAGTTACCGATCGTGGTACATTTAATAGTAAATAATTCTTCTGATGATTCTTACTTTCTTAGTCAATATTCACTTCAAAATGTGATTATATGTAGAGGATTTTATTTTGGGGGGCCTGCTAATGATGGGCCACCCTGCCTATAAATAATGTTCCAACCTCAATTTTTCATCATATTGAATTGCGTACTGCTGGCGAGACCGCCGAGAGCGTTTCCCTTGTTTTGCTAAGATATTAATGGAATAGTACTACCTTTTTACTTGTTGCGTAGGTACAACAACAAGACCTACCGGGTAGATGATATCGACTTTGACACTACTCCAGCGGATACTTTTGAGACCCGTTCCGGACCAGTATCATATGTCGATTACTTTAAGAAGTCCTATGAGAGGGTCATTCACGACGTGAACCAACCCATGCTGGTGTCTCGCCCAAAGAAGAGGGTCAGTATTTCTAGGTTATATTCATTTTTAATGGATCAGATTAATCTTTGATGGCATTAATGTTAATCTACAGGATAGTCGTCGTTGTAAAGATTGGTTATGTTGATGAGAGTTACAAGTTTATGCTCTTTCTTGCTATGTAGGAGTTCATTTACGTGTAATTGTGTTTAGCATGTGTTTGGGTGTGTGCATGCAGGGGATTATAATTGTGACTAAAGCATCGGTCACAAATGCCATTACGAACTGCTACGAACCCTGTACGAACGATTTTCAGACAATGGAAATTCGGGAAGACAATGGAAAAACAGATTTGTATGAAATAATCGTTCGTACGAACCTTTGTGACTGTAGCTTCATACATAGCTGTCATCTGACAAGTAAAAGGTTTCGGACTATACAGAATAATGTCAGGGGGGGGGGTGTTGAACTTTTTATGCCTCTGCCTAAAGGTGGTGCTGGAGGCATTATGTTGTCGGGTTCTCTGTTCGTCCCTCTTATTTAGGAGGAGGCTTATCAGAGACACAGTCCCGTTTTGTCATATTTTCTTCTACATAGTATCAGCAAATATGTACATAGAGAAACTATTGTTGCATATGGAAGATATTGACATGATTGCTAAATATTACAGGGAGAAATGAAATAATAACTTTATGTTTGTTATCTGATCTGTTCAGGAGGAAAAGAAGGGAGTTGGTCCAGCCTACCTACCACCAGAGCTGTGCTTCCTGACTGGCCTAAGCGATGACATGCGCGCCGATTTCAACGTTATGAAGGACATGGGCCAACACACTCGTGTTGGACCCCAAGACAGATGTAGAACGCTCAGCGGCTTCATCAAAAAGCTCAGCAGGTATAAAGGGATGATCATTTGGTCTTGTCATTTATAACAACTGTAACCCGTGGCATGGTGGCAGGGGAAACCACTTTTAAAGGTATAGACCAGTTTTGGAAACGCCCCCCCCCCCCCCTCTCAAAAAGATGTTTTAACTAACAAGTGAGGATACAAATTTTGCTGAGAAACTGCCTACTAATTGATATATCGCTAAATTATGTCTGGATAGATATAAGAATTTATTACGTAGACCCATATACATCTTTCTGTGTACAGGGCTTGTAACTTTACCAAGACTGGGCCAAATTTCTTATCATTTTGATGATTCCAGAACTTTGCAGTACACACCAATACCTATATGCTAGATAATAAATCTTTTCTGATCGATTCCACAACGTTTCTTTCACAATGCAATCCCATGACCAGAACTGATCTTTACCTTTAAATTGGTCTTTATTATTATGCCAGTATAGCCTGGAACATAACTCTTAACTTTGATGGATAAGGCCACTTGACCAGTCTGCATTCCTGGCCGAAACAGTAATAAAAAGGTCAAGTCTGGCACAGCTGGGGTTTATGTTACCCTTGGGGGCAATATGTCTTTCTACACAGCCATTCTCAATGTTTTTAAAGTAGTAGTGGACGTCATGATTCTCAGTATCATTATATGGCTGTATTCGTCTTTTTTTATGTACTGAATGTGAACAGATTGAACTGTAGTATAAATGGGCCTTTCACATTTGTCATACCCTCATGGCATAATATGTCACATATATTCATGCCAAAAATGCCTTTTTCTTTTTAGCGGGTACTGTTAAATATTTGTTAATGAAATATTTTTTATATGTACCTTACAATGTGTGGAAAGTTCTAGAAAAGGGATTATTTTTCATGCCATGAAAGAGCATTTGTTGATATATTATTAAAGTGCTTTTTCCTTCTTTTGGAAAAGGTATATCAACAAAAAAGGAAGCAATTTTTTTTTATTTGATGTATATTTTGTAAAGATTTCCTTTTATCAGCTGTCCTTCATCCCCCTTCAAGAAATGAGATTGTGAAAAATAATAATCCATCTTTGATATCATTTTGAAACAGCAACGAAGAGGTGAAGACTTACCTAGATTCCTGGGGCATGGAGTTTGACAAAGAGCAGGTCAAACTGACTGGGCGTGTCCTGCCACCTGAGAAACTATTCCAGAGGGGTAAACAGGTAAGTTGTGTGCCCGATATAAAAAAACAGGCCATCTCTTGCATATGTGTTCCCATATGTTGCAATAAGCTATATTTTTCGTATTTATACTGATTTGTTTTTCAGATTCAATGTTATGCAATGTTATATATTACATTATGTGTTTTTAAATTTGTTTGTTAACTTTTGTAATTCAGCTAGAACGCCACGATGAAAGTGAACCATTTTGAATTGAAAAATGAATTGAACTTTAAATTCATGACTGCAGAGGTAAATGTTAATAAAGATCCATCCAAATGGTGCCCAAAATTGTATCTCCAACTTCTTCCCCTATATCAAAATTTAAACAGGGAGCTAATGGATGTAAACTCCAAAGTTTCAGACTTCCTATGAACAAGTTTCTGAGCATGGTATAGACCTCCCTCCCCATCTCTCCACATATTAAAGGGACTCTGTAACATTGCCTCAGATTCTTAAACAAAATCCTGTATTTAGCTCATGCTACAATTGTAATTCTAAACCTTAAGGTCAGTCAGGAATCCCATGACGTTTACAAGCCAATCGCCTGTCTGATTATCAAGATATCAAGATATTTATGATTCAAAATAGAAATCAAATTTTGCGTTTACCAGACAGTTTTCCTAACACTACAGTCTTTTGGGGAAAACGAGTATGGTAAAACCGGTCACTCAAAGGTTTTTACTTTTTTGAGGCCCTTCTTAATCATTTTGAAGCGTTTTTTTTTAGGGCTTCAATATAACACCATATCACAAACACTGATAACACATAGAACCATGCATCTCAGATTTTAAGATAGAGACCAGTTATGGTCATGCAATTGCATTGTGAAAGAAACGTTGTGGAATCGATCAGAAAAGGTTGATCATCTAGCATATAAGTATTGGTGTGTACTGCAAGGTTCTAGAATCATCAAAAGGATGAGAAATTTGGCCCAGTCTTCGTAAAGTTACAAGCACTGTACACAGAAATATGTATATGGAACTACGCACACGTGCGCGACACGTGCAATTATTTTTCACAGGCCAATAGATAAAGTAATTTGCCAAATATATCAATTAGTAGGTGGTTTCCCGGCAAAATTTGTATCATCAAGTATTAGTCAAAACATTCTTTCACATGATTGGTAATAAGAGCTTCCATTTCATTTTTTGAAATTGGGGCGTTTCCAATACTGGTCTTTACCTTTAACAGTGTTAAACTTATGACTTTTAATGCAACGGACCTAGTTCATAAATACGGTTATTTCGTTTTCTCTTTGTCTTCTAGTTCAGTTACAATCCCAGCAATGCAGACTGGTCCAGAGACACCAGGGGTAATGCCCTCACTGATGCAAAGATCCTCAACAACTGGAAGATCTTCTACACACGCCGGGATGCCAACAGGGGCCAGGACTTCATCAAGTCACTTGTACGAGTCGCAAACCCAATGGGTATGAACGTACGAGGACCAGAAATGTAAGTAACAACGCACGTTTGTCATGAATTTCTGCTCTTTCTTTAACCCTGTTTTAATCGAGGGGGGGGGGGTGTCAATTTGACCCCCCCCCCCCTTCCCCTGTAGTAATTTAGCAACTACTCCGGAACCGCGGCAGATATAAAGTTTTCCTTGCGCAACTTTTGGTACGCAGATCGGACCAAGCATTACAAGGTCACATGACCAATGAGGGTCAAAGGTCATCCAAAAACTGTGACTTTTCTATACATGTGTGTGTAATGGAATGGACATACACATCAGTGTGTAGCTGATAATATATGCAAATTTAGTCATGCTCATGTAAATATGTTACCATATGTACAATAATAAACAATGTAAATACCTAAATCTCAAACTTATTCATGTGTGTGATTCATTTTGAGTCAATTTGATACTTTTTATTGTGTTTTTCTTTAAAATTGAGAAAAATTAGCGTTCTTCGGTCATCAATATATGCATAATTTGAATTCAACATTGGACCGTTAAAACAAAAACATGAACGCGTCACTAATACTTCAATGTACCTCCATGTACCTCATTTTGAAATATCATTTTATTTGTACAGTTATATATATTGAAATAAATTGAAATTTTGTTTGTGATTTGTATATATATCTCAAGATCTGTATTGCAAATATCAGTCTGAAATAAAGTTTTCATACTCAAATTCAAACCGTTTTGACTAGGGCCTAATTAAAGTACGTGTAAGTAGTTCACCACTTTATTTTCTCTTGCAGAGTGGAACTTCCAGATGATCGTACAGAGACCTACACAAGATCCCTACAGTCACAAATCGCACAGGATACACAGATTGTAAGTGCCACAACAATAGTCACAACTGGTGAACATACCGATCACTGTCAACTAACTTTTAAAAAGAAATAAGACACAGCTTCATGATGGTATTGCACTATGTTATCTTTTTTTTTTATCTCAGTGAGATACAGGTACCGGTATATTGATTTTCATAACAAATGTAAGTTAGGATAGGTCATTTGTCAATGTCTCTGTGTAGTTGGCTTTAGAGAAACATCCATGCAAACACCAGTAATCATTGTTTTCTAATAATAATAATAATAATACTTATCTTTTAAAGTAATCATTGCTTTTTAATAATAACAATAATAGTAATCTTTTGCAGTCTCCTGCACTTTTCCATTTTTCCAAAGTTCGGATAATACTTTAAATTTATGATTATATGTTATGGAAATGTTCAGTTTCGTTATTATATGTACATATATTATGTAAAAAAAACATTTTGACATGAAGAAATTATTGTTTGTTTATGTTGTATTATACCTTACATTTATATATTCTTTGTTATTCAGTTATATTTTATATGGAAAAAATGCAGAAATAAAATCAAATCAAAAAATCAAATCAAATCAAAGTCCACTCCAAATTTTATTAAGTTAAACCGAAAATGGAAATTCTTTTTGCCCAATTGATCGTGAGCCCGGCAGCCACTGAGCAGCGCCTGGATTAATTCCCAGGTCTCTTTTAACAGGCACCTAATCACCATTTGAATTTTAATATTTAGGTATTTGTATTTTCAATTTGTTTGGGGTTCAGGGATTTGTACTAGGGGGAAATTTAATTCTTTGGTCAGGTAAATCATACTAGATGGAATGACTCACAACCTTATGTACATTTAGTGATTATTCATCAGCAGAACTAAATGGGGTGCTTGGACTCTGATAATGAGCTTGTCCTGATCGTGATACAGCTCCAAAAACTTGTATTTATATTTTGCCATTTTTAAAGTATTTTTTCATTATTTTGGAAGCAAATTCTGTTTATTGCCATCGGAAATCTAGATTTCTCTTAATTTTGCTGCCAATGATTTTCTTTAAGATTGAAATGTCATTCTCTCTCATGTCTTCCTTCATACAGGTGGTGGTGATCCTGCCAACGAACAGAAAGGACCGCTACGATGCCATCAAGAAGACGTGCGTGGTGACCCATCCATGCCCTAGCCAGGTGATCGTCTCCAGGACCCTGTCCAAGCAGCAGATGCTCATGTCTGTAGCCACCAAGATTGCCATGCAGATGAACTGCAAGATGGGCGGAGACCTCTGGCGAGTCGAGATCCCGGTGAGTCGGTCATTCACGCAGTTCGAGCTCTTCGCACACGCGCAATGATTTGTGTGAATCAAAAATCAAAATGTGACAATGTGAACTAAATATGGCAATGTGGACTACATGTGGAACAAGTATTGTAGGTCATAGGTCAGTTAGGTCAAGCTGCTTAACCCCCCCCCCCCCCCCTCCTTCCTAGAATCTTATTCTCAAGTATCACAGACAAAAGAATCATCGAGTACTAATGACAGTTTAGGTTAGATTTCAGGTCAAGAGTTAATGTTGTAAAGTTGAAGTGAGCATGTATTCAAGTGCGCAAACACAGGTCAAGAAATTAAGCTCGTTCCTAATTCTTACATTTCTTTGTGTGAACATGGGCTTTGGACTTCAAGTCGTACATACCGATACTTGCCCTTCTTGTCAGTACATAGCACATCTGTTGATTACGGCAGGGAAGGTAGACTTCAGAAAAAGAAGAAGTACCAAGAGTAAAACGTTTGCCTTAATGGTAACGACTAAGTCAGTGAAGGAATAACATAGGCTTCGGTCATTAACACTCCTGGTCTGAGGCAATCTCAGCTCATTTAATCTATGATGTATGTTGAAAACATAAATTCTGTCCCAAGTTTGCTAATGATAGTAAAAGAAATGTTTACATTGGGTTTTAAAATGAATAGCTTTCTTCACATTAGAAGAGGTATTGTAGAGTGTTTGGATATGAAGATCCCCTCTCTCCTCATATGAGCTAAATGTGGGTTGGTTGATTGGTTTGTTTGTTTGTTTTACCTGACTGCTAAGAAAGCATGTGTATGCTTGTAAATAAGCAACCAGGTAACCAATGGGATTAATGCCTCGCCATTAACAAATGGCACTAGCGCATTGAATTGGTTTCAAACCCAGAACCTCCCGGTTACGAGACCAATCGATCTTTATTTACTGGGTGTAAGCCACAAATATGTTTAAACAATAGAATGATGTTTGGAATGATTTTGTTGTTGTATCTTGTAGCTGAGCAACCTGATGATCATCGGTATTGACAGCTACCATGACTCTCTGACCAAAGGCCGCTCCGTCCTGGGATTCGTCGCTTCCATGAACAAGTCTCAAACCAGGTATGCAAACCAGATTTTCAAACTCGACTCTATAAAGACCTTTTCTAAGGGAAACACAAAAAGTGGTCTTTGTAGACAGGCTGTCGTTGTAGACGGGTTCCTTTACCACATGTTTCAATGAAAAAATGTTTCAAGGGAAACACAAATTGTGGTCTTTGTGTACAAGTGGTCACTAAAGCAGGTTTGACTGTAGTATGAAAGAAAGTACCAAAGAGCGGGGGGGGGGGGGGGGGGGGGGGGGGGGTGATCAGTCACCATGTACATGAACATCTATTGTGGGTTGTAAACACATGGAATTTTGACAAATTTTGGGAATTTCTTGTCAGAATTGGAGGAACATGTTGGCACACTAAAAGCATGAACAAGTGCAGGATATAGTAAGCAGATATTAATCGACTACAAGGGTAATGGTGCAAACTATCATCGCCTCGGTGATCTCGGGGCTACTATCTTCCCGAGCTGCAAGGCGAGGGAAGATGGTAGCCCCGAGATCACCGAGGCGATGATAGTTTGTATCCATTGCTCGAGTAAAGGAGGTTAATATTTGATTTATATCGCACATCGGCAATAAGGTCTATTTAAAGTGAATTTTACATAATTAAAACAACTGATTTTGCAGACGGTGTAGCTTCAGCTAGATTTTACAAAGCACAACATGTGTACATGTTCAGTCGATGCGCGCTCATTTGACATTGACATTTCGCTTAACCTACTTTGCTATGCTTATTCAATGCGCAAGTCGCGCAAGTGGGCAGCAGCAAAAAATTACTTTACAAAAAGACCTGTCTCAGGTAGATAGTACTTATCTATACCTTTTTCGTGCTCTGTACAATCGCAATGCAAACAACTATACATGAGGGATATAAATCATATTTGAAATTGCTTTTCTTTCATTTGATTTGTAATTTTTTTGAATTTGCACTTAATCGTATTTCTATGTTTTAGTCAACTATTGAAATAAGCAAAGTACTTGAAATTCCAGGCTTTTGTAGTAATTCATTGCAAGAAGCAGAATGAGACTCCATTCTGAGGAGCAAGGTAACTAATGTCTCACCTTTGGTTCCTTTCGATGACATAACTGAATAATCCTCCTTTTTATGCAATCTGCCTTATTTATCATCCCGACATGTATTGTAAATTTTCTGTTCTTGTTTCAGCTTCTTCTCTAGTTGTGCATTCCAGCACGCACAGGGAGAATTCGGTGCTAACCTGAGTACCCTCATGAACAGTAAGTCTATTTTTCATGGTACATCCGTAGACATCCTAAATCTCTAATGCCACTACCTAAGTGTATGTCTGCTGAATTCATATAAATAATTGAAGTTATATATAAAGACCCTCACTCACCAGACGATGTGAATCCCTAATATCCATGTTGGATATATATATATATATATATATATCATAATTTATCAATATACATGTACTATCATGTACCATATCACTTAGATTTTTTCTTGGAAGTTGGCAATTCTATAAATTAATTAATTGCATAGAATAGTGAATGCTTACGTATTATGTATCTTCTGTTTTCTATATCTTACTACTAGTACTAAATTTCATGAACCTGGTTATTGTCATTGTACTATTCCAAATATCTTTAATCTTGCTGTATTTTCAGCAATGATTACAACAATGATGTTATATAATTATATAATTTTAGACGTTTGCACACCCCAATCCATGAGATAGGGAAAAATATTCCATGCTCATCTGGGTACTTTTTCACACACAGCCCACAAGATATTGTTTTAGTTAAAATAAAATGGTTTCCTGCGTACTTCAATTTTCTGGTCACTACAGAACCTTTGAGACAACTAAATAATTGTATTTATTTCTCAAACATATATATTCTATCTGGTCCATTTAATGCATTGATATTAATCATCCCATCCAGATGCCCTGAAGCGATACTATCAGATCAACGAGAAGTTTCCTGAGCGTATCATCATCTTCCGTGATGGTGTTGGTGACAGCCAAGTCAATCTGGTCGTTGACTATGAGCTCAAACAAATCAAGGACACCTTGGACAAAGTCTACCCTCAAGGGTGAGCCTCCTATAGAGCAGGGGGTGTTTCACAAAGCCTTTTTTCAATTACAAATGACAAATATCAGTAACAAATCAGCTGATAACCAATCAGAAGCAGGGATTTCAGTAGCTTATAACAAAAACTGTCATTTGCCACTGATGACAAGTTTTGTGAAACGGTCCCAGGAGGGTGATTCACAAAGATGCTAAGTTGATCGTAACTCTACGTTTGACTATAAAATTATGGAGAGCCATCTGTAGCCTTGAAATAAAATATATTCAAAAGCGAAAAATCAAGTATTTTAGACTTTTTATAAATTCCATATCAAGAACATGAAATCTCCTTGATGATGGAAAATATAAATGATTTAAATGCTTCTTAAAAAACTTTTACAAAATATTTTCATGGATGCTAACAGCTTTCCATAAGTGTTTAGTCCAACTAAGGATCTTTATGAAACACCCCCCAGAGCTTCACAAAGTCTGCACCGCCTCTAATGCTCTGCTCTTTTTGAAAATTTTAACCATTCACCTTGGATCAGATACAGACCTAAAACGGGCATCACGCAACTCAGGTGATATACATGGGTACCTGGCAGGAATTAATTCCTTGAAATGCTAGAGCGCTGTAATGGTAGCCGTACTAAAGCCAGGGTAATAATCGGGAGCCCCAGGAGTGTCAAATCTGACAGAAAGGAGCGCTATACAAGAACCCACTTTTATTATCATTTTCTTCAATATTACAAGTGTCATCACTGTAAATTTTAGAGTAGATTGTGTCTGAAACAAAGTTGAATAATGTTTGAGTTGCGTCAGCTTTTTAGCAATTAATAGTACAATGTTCCACTTACCAGACGTATATGAATGACCCTAATACTTTTTTTTGCGACTACCAATGAATTAAGTTTGTGGAACCCTGATATAGACAGTGCATTACTGGCAGAATTAATATTTCTTCTCATTTTTATCCCTGAATTTTTCAAAAGAAAATTTTTAACATTTTGTAGTGATTCAGTTGGATTTAAAGTCATACACTACTCTGTCTTATACTCTTATCCCCTGCCTGAGGTATGGCTTCGGCATTTCTGTCTCGTGCTGTAATGAGTAATGCTGAATGTTACCTTTTGAAATATGTTTGTGATTAACATATCAAATAATCTGCTTCTTGAGTTAAACATTTTAAGAAATATGTGGCAAGATATTCTATAAATATGTGGAAAGAATTTGTATATAATTTTGACAAGTAAAATTTCCCATCGCAGAGAACAACAAAATCAATTTAAATTATTCATGAATTGCAAGGATTTGTGCATATATTTATATGAGTCCGCCCTGGAAGAGTTCTGAATTATTTTATGGAATTCTCATACGATTTGGTGCTCATTTTCTCTGGTGTTTCCTTTGCCCCTCGATAGGACTGTTCACAAGCTGGCCGTTGTGGTCGTCAAGAAGCGCATCAATAACCGCTTCTTTGCCAATCTGAGAGGAGGCCTGTCCAACCCTCCCCCTGGAACCGTCATCGATGATGTCGTCACCAAGCCCCACCTGTAAGTCAAAGTCTTGATTAAAGGTATAGACCAGTTCAGTAGAGGTGTTGTGGTCGAGTGGATACGTCGCCGGACTGTCCGCGGTTCGACTCCCGCCGCTGCACTAATGTCCTTTGGCAAGACATTGATCTACATTTGCCACACTCCGCCCAGGTGAAGTAAATGGGTACCTGGTAGGAATTTATTCCTAGAGATGCTAGAGCGCCGTATGGCAGCCGTGCTAAAGCCAGGGTAATAATCGGGAGCGCCAGGAGGGTCAAATCTGACTGACATGAGCGCTATACAAGAACCCACTATTATTATTCTGGTCATGCGATTGCATTGTGGAAGAAACGTGGAATCGATCAGAAAAGGTTGATCATGTAGCATATTATATAAGTATTGGTGTGTACTGCAAGGTTCTGGAATCATCAAAATGATAAGGAATTTTGCCCAGTCTTGGTGAAGTTACAAGCACTGTTCACAAAAAGATGTATATGGGACTACGTGTTATCTATCTAGTCCGGATAGATATAATAATTTACCAAATATATCAATTAGTAGGCGGTTTCCTGGCAAAATTTGTATCATCACGTATTAGTCAAAACATATTCTTTCACATGATTGGTAATAAGAGCTTCCATTTCATTTTTTGAGAGGGGTGCGTTTCCAAAACTGGTCTATACCTTTAAGTGCTTTGATTTTTTTTATTGTCCAGATAAATGGAAATTTTTCTTTCACATGGTTACAAAGTATATACATCAAGCATAAATCAATTGAACAAACTTCACATTACATATTACTAATTACTCACTGAGTAAGTCATATTAATAATTTAAACTTAATCTTTACAGAATCAAGCCTAAATTCAACAACAAAAAAATCATACTTTTAAATGTTATTTTTGATTAAACAAAATGGGTTTTGGGGGTCCACAAGACTTGATTCCAGCCTCTTTTCACTTAGATTGTAACCTGATTATCATTGGCATACATATGTGGAGCCTTCAATAAATTCATATTGGACTATGAAGGTGTAGGACATGAGTACAAAATATCCTTCAAATAATAATTAGTTTTCATCCTAGGATACCATTTTAACATTTATAGAATGCCAGAAATGTAAACAAAAAATAGTGTAGAGCAAGGATTTATATTCAGCTGTGCTGATTTTTGGTGTTCCTATTTATTTTGTTATTGAGTTTATAAAGATGTATATTGTGTACATTGTGAATGCATAAATAGACAAGCACCTCCTACCTTTTAGCCAGTTGGAAAACCTTGAAACGTTGAACAGGATTAACTTTAAAGTTCCTTCAACACTGTCTCTCTCTTTTTCTCTCATCTCTCTCTTTCTCTCTTTCTCTATCTCTCTCTCTTTGTCTATCTCTTTTTCTCTTTCTCTATCTCTCTCTTTCTCTCTCTCTCTCTCTCTCTCTCTCTCTCTTTGTCCAGTGTAGTAAAGAGAAAAGAAAGAGAGATGTGGATTGTGGAAAAAAAAAGAGAAAAGATGAAACGAGCGCTAGTATCCTCTTGCGCTTTGTGCATTGCTCTTAGCTCACTGTGGGTGCCTGGTAGGACGAAAATTATACAATGTGGTGTAGAAATTGTTCATGATACAGGCCTGATAAAAACTCTATTTAAATCGGTTTCCCGATTTTTTTTTTTCTTCATTTTTCCCGATTTTTTTTTTTCTTCTTTTTTTTACCAGATTTTTTTTTTCTTCCCTATTTTATCCCGATTTTCCCAATTTCCCCCTTATTTCCCCAATTTTCTTACTCAAAAGGGGGGAATGTTGATAGATTTTTTTTCCCCTGTGAATCCTCTTCTTTTTTTTTGTACTCAAGGGGGGCGTGGTTGAGGGAAAACAAAAAACCTTTTTTTTTTTTTAGTGCTCACTATCACCCCTGATGATAATGAATTAAAGGAATGTAGGAGGAGGCATATTAGAGACACTCTTGCATTTGCTGATTTTGTTCTTTCTTTCTTTCTTAGCTATGACTACTTCATCATCAGTCAGAGCGTCCGCCAGGGCTCCGTGTCCCCCACGTCCTACAACGTTGTCTATGACACCACTGGTCTCAAGCCGGACCACATGCAGAGGTTGACCTACAAGCTGACCCATCTCTACTTCAACTGGCCGGTAAGTCTTGCTCTAAATCTTTCTTTAAATTCTCATTTAATTTAATAGGACAGGTGGAAAATGGAGGTTTCTGTTTTTGGAAATAAAGATTGCAGATTCATGTGGCTACGATGTCGAGTTTAGAAAATACAATTTGAATATAAATTTAGCAACTGTTTAATTTAAATTAGTTTGAAACGGCCTGTGCCAATGAAAGGGTTCCTTTGCTTTATCTTTTAATCAGAGTGATTTAAAGCTTATCTGTACTAGTTTATAGGAGGGATTAGACCACCCTGCAAGGTCACTGCACAGGTGGTTATCTCATCAACTCAGCTCTCAAATAACATAAGAAAAAGAGGATCATGGGGGACCAATGGTCACCGATTAGGCATTGTTTTCTATATAGAGGGAGCAAGTAGTACAATGGGGCATTAAATCAAATTTTAGCAATCCAAAGATTTATCCAAGTCTAAGTAACCGTTTAATTCAAAATTGTTTTTAACAGCCTGTGCCAATGAAAGCATTCCTTGGCTCATTCGCTTAATCAGAGTGATTTAAGCACAAGATCCATAGAACAGTCTCCATTTTTGTTATGCCTCTGCCCACCGTAGGTAGGGGGTGCCAGAGACGATTACACGATATTGCAATATGTCAAGAACCACTGGCATCAAACGTGGTGATAACATGTATTACCATATTAAGATGTTATGACAAGATTTTAGGGAAATTCAACCAAAGGTCATAGAGGTCAATTTATAAAAAAGAGTTTTTAGCCTCATTATCACAATATCTCAAGAACCACTAAAAGTATGAGCTTTAAACCTTAAGAGAGAAACATAAAGTTAATGATATTTTTGTACACAACAAACGGGGGACTTCTCCGCGACTGTCACAATCCGCTAACCAAACTGCTAATTTGAGATTCGAATGGACTTAGTGATCTCATTCATAACTTTCTTGTTACTAGCCTGCTTTATTTCAAACTTTTGCCATTCTCTTTATCTCATTTTTCTGCTCTTATAGAAATGAACTTGTTACAAGGGTTGGATTACCCTTTACCTTTTAAGATTAAACAATAAGTTGCATTGAAAGAGCTTATGCTTAAAGGGTCATATCTCCAGTATATTTGATACAATGTGTTATCAATTTGTTTTTCACAGGGAACGGTGCGTGTTCCTGCCCCGTGCATGTATGCGCACAAGCTGGCATTCCTGATCGGGCAGAGCGTCCATGAAGTGCCCAACAACAGACTAGCCGACACCCTCTTCTATCTCTAGATGAGCAGGCTTGCTCGGTCAGGCAAGCAACGGTGGCTCAACTCCTGACTCTACCATTTGGTTAGTTTCCTCTCTTCCATGAGATGACTTCTTTATAGACAGGTGGTCTTTTTTATACAGGTGGTCGCTAAAGCAGGTTTCATTGCATGTGTCCAAGGACTCTCAATGGTTGAGTGCCGTTACTCACAGATATGCCAGAAGGCATTCACTGCATTCTGTGGTACGTCACAGTTTGTTATTTGTACAGTACTTTCAGTGTTTATTTTATCCGGCCAAAGATGTGATGAGTGACAATCATGGGAAGAAAGGTTTTCAAGGTGTGTCTGTGCAGGGAATTCCACTGAAGGAAGATGCAGGGTAAAAAGAAGAACAAAATTTTAGATGAGACCTCTTTTGTACAGGGTGTTCTTCTACAGGGTGAGTCAGAACGAATGTCCCACTTTTTAAAAGTTGTATTGTTTGAAGTATGAATATTTAATTAGGGGTTTAATGATATGTCTTGATAGAGTTATTCTCCAAGTAAATTTAGGTACCATTTTCATTTGAATCCCTTCACGCATGACTGAACATCAGACAATCTTTACAAGGGAGAGAACGACATGGTTACATGGTATTGGTACTGGATCTTAACACTTATTGATCCGTAACATTGTTTGACCGAATTCGTCGGCCCCCCCCCCCCCCCCCGGGTTTTGGTTACATTACCCCATCCTGTATGTATATCCTCTTCCCTAAGGTGTGGTTTCCGACAGTGTTCCCTTCACTGTTTCATATTACCCATAATCGGACTGTAAACTAGACTGCAGGTTGTAGTAACCTGTGCCGAGGCCATCGGCTGGTACTGAGCTTATAACACAGTATGAGCATGTATATATAGAATGGTACTGAGCTTATAACATAGTATGTGCGCATGCATATAGGTACATTCAACTTGTCTGTCTGCCGTGGGAGGCCTGTGGGAGGCCTGGGGAGGCAAGGCTTATCTGGCCACAAAGGCCTTCACCATTTTGATGGTGTCACAAAGGACTATTTGTAGTAACTTAGTGATTCCTGAATTCTTCAGGCCGACAGTCTTGGCGATATCACCGTTGAGTGAGCACCAAGTGCCTTTAGCACCGCACACGAATCCAAAGATCTCAACTGATGATGGTTGGAACATCGTTTCGACCGCCGGTATAATTGGCGTATATTTCTGTACCTTGCCTCTCCAGGCCGCCTTTAGCTTCCTGGGATTGTCATCCCACACTACAGTTGTGTGTGTGTGTTTGTGCGTGTGCGTGTGTGTGTCTGTCTGCCTGTCTTTGGTCAATGCACTGTTTTATTCATCACCCAGTAAGTTGGCGCAAGTGAAACCTGGCAGTCTTGTAAAGATTGTCTGATGTTCAGTCATGCGTGAACGGATTTAAATGAAAATGGTACCTAAATGTACTGGGAGGATAACTCTATCAAGACATATCATTAAATCCCTAATTAAATATTCATACTTCAAACAATACAACTTTTAAAAAGTGGAACATTCTTTCTGACTCGCCCTGTATTGTTGATGCCATGATATACCTGCAATGTTGACATGTCGTCTTATAAAGCAGGATGCCTTTGCCAGCTTTTGTTCCCGGTTTTTTTTTGTAGAGGAGGTGTAGTTCTGATGTTAGGCAGATGTCATTATGAACATGACGGACAAAGAAAGCGGACAAAATATACAGTTCCTCATTCTGTGTAGAACAGGTTTCACATGCATATTCACCTGTGCTACTTATTTTTACATAATAGCAGTGAAGGGATGTTCCTCTGTCTACCACAGCAATTGTGGAGGGTAGAATGAGGAACTGTATATGTTGTCCGCTTTTTTTTGTCCGTCGTGTTCGTAGTGTGTCATTGAAGAATTAACCTGAGGCTATTTCAGAAGCCTTGCTCGTCACATAGTGAAACGTGCGAACAAGACAATGACGTTTTATGTAATCCAAACATGATTTCTATGAGACATACAATAAGGTATTGAGATTGCCCTTGAATTGGATTGTTTGTGTTTTTTTAATAGTTGCCTCCTTATCTCCTACCTATAGATGTTAAGATAATTGTTTGAAACATCCCTGTATGAATGACACATTGAAAGGACGAATGTGCTTCATGGTTCTTGTTTTTTATGTTTTCATTTAAAACATTTTAGTTTTTTGATGAAAAGACAAAATTTGCTTGAATCTTTGGCAGAAAAAAAAAATAACATTGTTCATTCCATATTATGGTATTCAGAACTATATGAAAAGAAAGAGTTTGTTATGTTGAAAAACCTTGAATATATGTGTACGATCTTTATAACCTGTAGTGTGACTAGATTGTAGTTCGACTAGATTGTAGTTCATTAGTTTAGACACAACAGTTGGTTTGTCTTCCATGCATTGTAAATATGTTCATATAACATGTTACACTTTTATATAGCTGTATGTTTAACCATTATTTTTGTATTTCATATTTTTATTTGTGCTTTTGTTTGTGCCAAAAGAGCATGGTCAAATTACCTTCAACTATTGTCACGATTTCAGTGAGGTTATGACTTTTATGTTATGGTTTGAAGATGAGCATGATGACTTTGACATTGTCATCTCAATTCCATTTCATTTATAAGATCAATGTTATAGTAAGAGTTAAAAAATGGTCAAATGTTAAGAAGTCAATTAACATGAAATAAAAGGTGTGTTTTGTTTTTTAAACCATGTGATGACCAGATCGATAACTACTTTATGCTGTTATTAGTTTTATTTTTTTATTCAGTACTTTTTCTGCGACCACAAACTTTGTTTGGTCCATTTTGTCTATTTTCATCTTTCAGTATTTTGTTAATAACTACTTTGTTTGTCTTCACATGCTATTTTCTTAGAGGTGTAGACTGTAAATATGTTGTACATGTGTATACAATTACAAAGGTGCCTTGCATAATAGCATCAACAATTTTGTGTTAAAACTTCTGATTGCTGCAACCAACTCAAAAGATATCAAAATTAAAGTATTATGTTCTCTCTTAATTTGATCATTCCTATGTGCATATTTCACATTCAAAGTTGTAAGTGATCATTTAAAACGTTTTACACTGATGAGGGTCTGCACATTTGATTCACAAATCATGAGTAGTTCATAGCTGGGGCTGTATAACAGCTTCTAGATTGCAACTATTTGTCAGACTCTTGATGCATAGTTTAACCTTCTGTAAGTATAATTCATGTTTGTGTTGGGGGGGTTTAAATCTAAACCTCCTCTGTAAATTAAGCCAGTGAGCATCCATGACACTTATAAGTCTAGTGACATGTGAAAGATTGCTCTTTTTTAAAAAAAAGATACTGTTTGTTTCAAATTCACCGCCATCTTATAACATTAAAAGGCTTTGCATGTGCACCTTTTTCTGTTCTTTTCGGTAAGGTATTTTATTAAATGTTCAAAAACAAAGTTTTTCTGTCAGTGCAGTTTATTGTGGTGTGTGTTTCTCATTAGACTAATGGGGCGTTGCGAGAGAGTTGCATTCAATTGCATATCCCCAAAATTAAGCGCAAGTCTTTCAATTGATCGCAACTCAACTTTCTTGCTATGCCCCATCAGTAAGAAAGAGGGAGAGGGAGAGAAACGATACACAGACAGAATAAGACACAGAGAATGGTTAATGATATATTATATAAAGAAAGTATGGGAAAAGTAGGAGTAAAAGATGAAAGTAGAAATGAGAAATAAAGAAAGGGGAAGAATAATTAGATCATAAAAAACAAAAATAATTGTAATACAATTAAAATCAAAGGAAGACTACGGAAAACAAACAGAGAAAGAGAGAGAGAGAAATGACGTGAAGTAGATTTATGGACAGCGGGTATTACAACAAAAAGCATCTAGAGATATAAGAAGATTAACAATCCAAAATGGCTGAAGTTGAAAGAATCCATTTTCAACAAAGCTTCTTATACATATTCAAAAGGGAAGGAGAGAAAGAAAGGAAAATCATGGCTAGAATTTTGTTTACAGACTTGGTGAAGAGGGAAAAATGAGAGAGATTTGACCAGAGGGTATACGAAAGAAGGAGAAGAAGAAAGAGAGAGAGAGAGAGCAAGGACAACGGAACTAGGATAGCACAATATGGCGAGAAGCGAAGAGAGAGAGAGAGAGAGGGGGGGGGGGGAGGATAAAAGCTAGTTTTAGTTAACCAGATTCAATTGTTTAAAACTTTAATCCTAAAAAAATCCTAGGAAATTTAGGAGACTAGTGGGGCGTTGCCAGAAAGTTGAGTTGCAATCGATTGAACTTTCTTGCAACGCCCCATAAGAATAATGACCTATATCAGAAGATATTAATGATGGCATGTTCATGGTAACCACCCCTACCTAGCCTGGGAGGGGGGGGGGTAGAAGCCCCCCCCCCCCTCCTCTACATTTTTCGCGATAATTTTTTAACGAAAAAGAATCTTGCGCTGAAATTGTATAATTTTTTTTTTTCGAGTCTTGCGCATCTTTTGAAATCAATTTCGGACCTACCCTTACAAAGTCAAGTGACCTTTTGTCTTTGCATGTCAGCCCGAAAATCACTCATTTTCGTAATTTGTGTACAAAACATGGAAATCTAATTATTCCCAAAAAAAGATAAAACATTGGTTATTTGGTCTTGTTTATAGTTTAGGTGTTTATTTTGGGGTTCAAAATAGTTGAATTATAGTTGGAAATGAAATTTTAAAAAAATAAATGTATAATACATAAGTTAACAAAACAATTAGATACATAAAAAAATATCAAAACAATAGATAACTTAAGTAGTAACCTGTCTCTTCCAATTTTTGTTGTTGTATTATTATCCCAGATGGTCTAAAGAATATATGTAGTGAAAACTAATATTTAAATATGAAGAATATATGATTTATGGTTAAAAATGTGAATTGTATTACCTTAATTGCATAAATTACCATAAATATGCAAATGAGTGAATTGTTCATTATTTAAATAAATACCAAAGTAATCTATACACTTCACTTGACATGCATGCATATTTTCGCGGCGATCACAGGGGGGGGGGGGGGGGGAAGGGGGCCTAAGAAGCCCCCCCCCCCCACCCTCCCCACCCCCACCCCCACCCCCACCCCCCCCCCCCCCTCCCCAGGCTATGCAGTTTCAAAGTAGCCCAGGCTAGATACGGTTAAATCATTGCCCTTGTACTGGGCTAGTATAAGCACATTTTGTTACAGCACGTTTCAATCGGTAACACATAAAGCAACTATAGTTGAATACGTCTCTGTGATGGTGTTCTGTTTTTTTTTGTCTTGTGTGGGCAGCGGAAGCAAGACGTAGAGGTGTCTTGGTCTAGTGCATACGTCACTGAACCATATATCTCATGGTTCGAGTACCCCTGCGGCACTAATGTCATTTGGCTAGACATCAATCTGCATTTGATGGAAACATTAGTATAAAGGGCTATATAAAATATTATTGTGATTATTATTAGCGCCGCATATCCAACGGCAAGGGGAGTTTCAATTAAAAACTTATAAAAATTATTACAAATTATAAACTTTCACATAATATAAGGATTATACTTTATCTCAAATAATGTGAAGAAAGTTTCAGGTCAAAAGTCTAGATCAGAGGTCAATTGAGTCTGCTGAGTACAGTTATGTTCCAATATTGCAAACCTTGAATTAAATTTAGATATAAGTTTACTCTCTTTTCGAAAGCATTTGTTCAATTTCCAAGACATGTATCAATCCTTCATAAAAGTCTCTGTGTCGCCCTCTTTCGACTGAACACCCAAATCTCACTTTTTGCATCGATTTGAGGTCACTCATTGACCCTCAATTTCGGGGTTAGGATTTCGTTGTGTCTACTTACACATACAGTTAGAAACTAATTTACTTTACACTTTACTCACCGGACTTAGGGGGTGTTTTTCTAAAGGAGGGAACATGCATAAGCGCAGGCACGTAGCCAGAGTTTGATGTTTGGTGGGGGGGGGGGGGGGCACATAAATGTAATCGATCGAGGTCAAAAAAGGGTCTAAAAAAATCCAATCGATCTTGGACATTTGGGGGGGGGGCACGTGCCCTCCCCCGTGGCTACGTGCCTACATAAGTATACCCTAAAGAACACTTAGTGGGGGGGGGGGGGGGAGGCGGGACACAAGATGATCTACTAATAAATGAAAAAAGAGTAGGCCTACATACACCTCATCTATTGCTGGGGAAGGATACCTTATACTGTTCAACAGGGTAACTCAAGGTTTCAAGTTTTCTTTATTTTTTTCCACATGATATAACATAATCAAATGAATATGCAATATATACAAATTCAATAACTTAATATTAACCAAACAATTTACAAATGATTATACCATTATTTAAATCAATCATTTAAGATTGGCACTGTCAGTGGTAAAACATAGTGGAGGAGTCTATTAAAAAAAAGCATGGCTTGTATTTTATAGACCCCTTGATAATAACAAAAAAGTTACAAGTGCTCTGTATTATAATTAGAAAATATATGTATAAAAATGCTTGGGTAATCCTACACCCCCCCCCCCCTCCTACGCTACAAAACAAAAAGGTTGTCTTTAACATTGGTGTATACACGAATAATAATTACAGATAATGGAAATAATATAAAAAACGATAACCTTTCTAGCAGAGAAGAGAGAGAGAGAGAGAGAGAGAGAGAGCGAGAGAGAGAGAGAGAATGGAAGATGAAGCATGAAGGACGGCGACATTACACACTATGGTAAGGGGGCTCAGGGCAGCACCCCCTAAAGTGCCCCAGTGGCAAATTACTTGGTAAGAATCATTCGTAGCGGAAGGAGACCTCAAACTTATGAGGACAATGCCCTCTGTTAGGGGTATGATGTGCAGCACCCTAAAAGTGTTCCAATGGTATTATTATAAATCATGATTGTGCACAATGCAGGTGAGACTGTGTTTAGGCATTTCCCTTGTTCTATTGTTGGGGTGTCCTCTGTCCGTCGCTCGTTCTTATTAATGATGTGATGACAATCACCAGTAGGTGATATTCTTATGTTTCTGTTTTCCATGAAATTTTCTATTGGCCCATTGATAAGGGTAACCCCACGTAGTGTTGCTTTTTATGGACAAAACACCCCTCAAGCCTTCTCAAAACATTTGATTATGGTATTGGATCCGTCGTTTCCTTTCAATTATCCCCAGATTATCATTGTCCCTCCCCAAATGAACCATGTGTGTGTGTCATAGGCCCGAATTCACAAAGGACGTTAGTCTGAACCTTGGTCTGAAACGCATCGAAACGCGTCATAAATGACGCACATAACTCCGAGGCCTAGGTTTATCGACAAACATCTGTTTTTAAAATTCGGGCCAATGTGTATGAACACAAGTGTATAAGTTTCAAATAGACAGTTTAATGATGAAGGCATTATATCAGGTACTCCAGACGTGATTTTTTTTTTTTTTTTTAAAGGAGACGCCGAAGCCGGTCTCGCCCCACCCCTTTTTAAGGGAAAATTTATGACATTTTACAATCTTTAAAATATACAAAATACTAATGGGGGATCCCCATTTTCTGCAATACAATGAATAGTTTGCTATTCTTGAAATATGACTGAAAACGGGACGTCGGCTATAGAATTGCAAGATGAATTTCATCATTACTAAGGCCTCGCTACAATGAAAGGAAATATGACATCTTCAAAAGTAAATACAACCTGTTACATCGCAACCTTTCCTATTTTCGGGAAACTGAAGAATGGAATATGTTATTCAGGTTCTGCATACAACGGGAGAAGAAGTGAAAACAAACTCGTAGAGCGATACAAACAAACCTTGGAAGTAAGCCACAATCGCATGACAATGGGTGAAAAACGTCATAACATGACGAACAGCAATCAAGCGGAGCAGACGACCAGTTATCGATGAGTGATCGTGATTTAAGCGTACCGTGACCGATCTCTGTTGATTAAGACTTTTCTGCAAGGATTACCAAGACACGTTCGACACCAAGGAAAGGAGGAGACACTCTACATTTCAGGATCAAGCTTTAAGTAAGCAGTTGATTTCTTGGAGAAAAGAAGCAAAGAGTCAAAGACTATACTTTAATATCGTTTTACTTTGAAATCTCCAAACAGCCCAGTCATCGCTCACTTCTCGCTGGTGTATTTTGAACTTCTCTATGTACCACCACCAAGGATCATTTGTTGAACCACAATAGTCCTACCTGAACTTCAGTTAGTTGACAATGGAGGGACTGCCTGCTCTGTGTGCCAGACACTGCTCTAACAATGGCCTCCGTGCTTCAGTATTACCAATCACTGTAGTTGTGATCTCGATTTTAGTTTGCAGCGTCGAGTCTGTTTCGATCTCGAGACAGACAGTCAAAGTAAGTAATTTTGGTCGTTATACTATTACTTGTAGTCCGCGATCATCATAAATTGAAAAGTGTATTATGACTTACTCATTGTGAGGAGGAATCTAAGTTGCCCGGCGAAAATTGATTTATACGCTCAACAATAAATATAGGCGCCGGAAAAAGGGAGAGGTGCAAGGAGAGAGAATAATTACTTGTAATTATTTTGCATTCCAACGATGTATAACAAGCTTTTAGAATGCTCTAAAACTAAAAAGGCAGATTTTTAGCATTGCCATTTTTTAGCATTGCCATCAACATATATATATAAGTACTCTAAAATGCATTCCAAAACCTAAATTTTCTAATGTACTGGTCGCTATATGCTTCCTTATAGAAAAAGGTTTAGGCTTATATGTTTATACTGTAGAAATCCTACTACGGGAGGCACCAAGAACGAGGGGAGATGTTACCATCAGACCCGGCCCCCCACTCAGATGTCGAAATGACCGCATGCGTGTTGCCAAAATGTCCGGTAAAGGGGTACTTTTCGTGCGACAAAGTCCGGCCCGAGAATTGTAAAAAAAGGGGTGTATTTGACTTTTCACCCGGAGATTTCTTTAAAAAGGGGGTGTTTTTCTGTTTTTCTCTCATCTCTTTGGACTCCTGAGAAATTATTCCGAATTTAGGGGGGTACATTGAGCATTTTTCCTGATTTAAGGGGGTCTCCAAGGCAGGAAAAGCCCGTGAAAAGCCCGCGAAAGGGGGGTTCGGAAATGTTGGCAGTCCTCAGATAGGGGGTGCTTTCAAAAAGAGGGTACGAGCATATGCGTACCCTAAATAACACTGAGTGGGGGGGGGGGGGCCGGGCCATCAGATCGGGGGGGGGGGCAAAATCGTGACTGTCTCTTCCCCCTCACAAGGCCAAATCACAAGGCCAAATTCGTTTTTCCCGTCTCCTTGCCGGACAAAAAAAAAATCATGATTTTTGTTGTATAACCATACAAAAGATGCTCTAAAATACAAAGTGTCAACATTCTAAAAACTCTAAATGTTGTCTCTCACATATTAATAAATGTAACCTTTCCCTCAAAAGCGCCAAAGCGAGGACAGGTGATTCTGTCTAACAAGGGGACACGTCAAATTGCCCCCCCCCCTCATAAGACATAATTTTGCAGTAGGATATATTATAGATTAGGTTTTCATAGTTCTGAGAAAAGGAAAAAGAAAAAAAAGCAACAGCAATGATTTGACTTTTCATGTTAACAGTAAACCATTTTGAGCCCCTCAATAGGATCGCTTATGAAATAAAAGAGATAAATCAAGATAATAAGCGTGAAATGGTTTCATGTATATAGATGTTTAGTAAGCTTTCTTTTAAAATGAAATACAAATTTCAATCGGTCAAACTCAATTTTTCTCGATCGGTCGCTACGCTCCCTCGCAAATTCATTAGCTGCAGTATTTCTCTACCACAAGGCCCTCAAAATCGCGGGTGGGGGAGGGGGGGGGGGGGGGGTGAAAAAAAATCTACGAAAATTAAGCTTTTTCCTGTCCCCGCTCGCAAGAAAACAAAATCAAATGACATCAATCAGTCAGTACAATCCTGGAAAACAATTTTGGTGCTTTAAAATACATAGTTTTAACGTTACCATTTTTTCCTCAAGTGGTCGCTCATACGCTCCCTCGATTGCTTACAAAAACAGTGTTTCTTAAAAGTGTCCTGTAGAAACGCCCTACACCAAGGCCCCGTGGTGTGCGGGTTGAGTTTTCCTCTAGTAAGGGGAGAAGGCAAATTCGTTTAGACCCCTACCTTCTCACAAGACAATTGTCAATTGTATTTAATAATTCTGCAGAATGGACAAGATTTTAAGTGCCCCAAAATGCAGTTTTAACTTTCCAAGACGCTCCTTCGCATTTTAATAAATGGATTGATTGTTATCACTGTACAAACCCTGTCTAAAATAATGCGCTCGAAGCGTACGGCGAGAAGATTGATGTAGGTTGTGATTTTCCATTATGTTTCGAAATATACTTGATTACACTTGTCCATCTCACAGAAACAATTTTTTGCGCTTGGTCGCTACGCGTTATTGATAATAAACTTACATTCAAGATGATTATGATCCTTTGTATACAAACTCTCTAATAGCCGCTATGCTATGTTTAATGACAACTGTATCTAAGAATATGCTTAAACTGGGCTTAAAACATACTCAAGAAAGCTAAATTCAAATACTAAAAGGAGAAGTGCAAACTCTTATTCTTTTTTTCCCTCGCAGAATACAAAGCATGTTTCTTTGGAAATATCAAGCAATATTATGTATGAAAGGGAAAATGGTATCGGGGGGGGGGGGTGCTATAATTATGAAGGTAGCAAGCGTAGCTAAATTTGTCGAAAAAATCCATTCATATCATTTTATTTATTTCCACAATAACAGCAAATAAAATTGACAAAGCTTTTCGTTTAACAGAGTCATTCCATATTAAAATATTAGCAAACGAGAAATAAACATAATATAGTATGTGCGATGCAATGCAGGTATACGATCGAGACGAAGATCATTGCTCAAGACAGAGTAACATTTGACTATGTAACAATGTAACAATTTGGCTAGTGGCAAGGCGAAATTGAAAGATAATACGAATAAATAAACGTGTATTTCCAGTAGCAAAGGATGGTATGTGTATTTATTCAAGAATACCATCGCTGAGAATTGTATTTGCATAAAATATCCATTCAAGTAGAGACAGTTGATTGATAGTTCTAGTGCAAAAACGTAACACAAACTTGTTTTACGTGATATGTATTGATAAAGGAATGACACGTTAGCTGCCATGGTTGAATCTTCAAATGAGACAAATATTTGGTTGGCAACAAAAGGAAAATCTTACAAAGTTTATTCAGAGTAGCATGAATAATAATTATTTGATATATGATATTCAAATGGGTATAATTTGATGAAGACGTACACGCTGTGAGGCGTCATATTCACGTTATTCGTAGAAGTTGATTTACTAGAGTAAAAGTAAAGAAATATCTAACTCATTGACGAAAAGGTTGTCAACCTGATCGTAGCTGTCGGGTTTAGCCCCAGCCCCCTCCCAAACAGACCCCCCCCCACCACAACAGACCCCACAGTCGGGTCGATTTCACCTCATCCAATAATGATAACAATTATGAGGAAATAAAGAAGAAGAAGAAGAAGTAGAAGAAAAGTTTTTACCCGATCAAAGCGCATACAGTATTATTACACCGGCTCTAGCCGATCGAGCTACCATGATAATTCTCAAGCATTCAGTGAATTTCTTCCTACGGGGTACCCATTTACTACACCCGGATGGAGAGTGGCAAATGAAGATCAATATCTTGTCAAAGTACATTGGTGCCGCAGCAACATTCGTGAAAAAAATACATTGTGAAAGAAAATGAGAGAATAATGCTGCAGACATGAAATGATGGTTCCTCCTTTAATACTGTCGTCTGTGGCTCTATGAACCTGCACGGATTGGGGGAGAAGAGTCTCTGCCGTAATTTGAACCACCAATCCTTACCACCAGGCTACATAGACTGCTATTCATTTGGCCGATAGAATGGGAACCTATGTTATACAAACATTGCTTTATATTTCACGCTACTGCTTATTTACTGCCATTGGCATTCTTGTGTCACTATGCTAATATCTTGCTAACTTTTGATAATATATATAATATTATGTAAACTGTTATTTTGTTGCATGATAAATTTGATTGATTGATTATAAGGAAGTAACATAAACCAAGATAATTGAAGACTATCTAATTCACAAGAATTGAAGAGTTGCCAATATAATGAAAAAAAGAAAATGTCATGAAAAATTCAGGATATCACGGTTGAAGGAAATACGGCAATCTAAATATTTGAAATGGTGCTTTCCCAAGCCTTTGTGATAGAAGGCTCTGTACGAGTTGGTGCTTTCGTCGCAAGGTCAAGGAAGCAGCTATTTATCTACCACCATTGATTTGACCTGCACCTGTGTTTTTCTTTACACGTTTATATTTGCAAAACTCCCAGACCCACAAATTTAGGGAATTTCTTCCCATTCATCGATCGAAAATGAGAACAGTGGTCGGGTTTCTTTTAGAAAAATACCTGAAGGGGAAAATGTTGAAGATGGTTTCATATTTCGACATTTTGCAAGAATGTGACTTGATCGATTGATACAGTTATTCATTTATTTTGTTTCATTGCGAAATGTTCAATATTTACTTTCCTGCAGTCGAGGGTACGTTTAGAAATCATGTGTCGTGAAAGAGGAGGGGCATAATTAAAAATCAGTCTTCATGAGGGGAGGGGGTTGGGGGAGGCGGAAGTTGACATTCCGCCTATCCAAACCGTGGAGCCCTGTATGCAAGCTATAACTCCCTTTTGGAATGCTTTAAAGGTGCTATGTCCCATTTGCAGACCAAAAAAATGAAAAGGTTAAATTCCACCGGCATTTGACAACAAACAGTAATTAAGAAGTTCCCTTAAAACGAAAGGGCTTGAAAATGTAAATAAAACGACCAATAGTTGTCGAATTGACTTAAGTGATTGCAATCACCTAAGTAATAGTCTGATTTTCAGACCCTTTTACCAAATGGTCGTACGTTTTGTGCTGCACAAAGATTCAGTCAGTTTACTTTTGGCCATTACAAGTAGTGGGTTATTGATGTAGACAAATGATCATGTAGGCCTACCTTTTACAGCTCATTTTATGTATGTTATTACCAAAGGAAACAAAAGTCAGTCAGTCCCTCAAAAGTGTCTGACAGTGAAGTCTAGAAGGTAAACGGGTTTACTTGCATAATTTGAATAATTGGACACTGCTATTAAATGTTTAGATTTCACAGATAGGACATACATGACACATTCCTAATTCCTCCAAAGTTCTACAGAATTTAATGATGGCTGCAAAAGGGACATAGTATCATTAGCATTTAGATCTGAAAAAAATCAGTGGTTATAGTCTTTGAGGTGTAACCCGTCTATATGACACGAATTAGATAACTTCAAACATGGCGTTACTCTTGAAAAATGCGACCTTTCTCCCATGACGTCAGCTCCCTATACAAATTAGGCTAAATGACGCACTGAACTAGTCTTCATATTCTTTAGAGGAGCAACTTTTCTTGCAATTCTTACGATTCTTGTCAAAATAAAAGATTTACCGTCATGTTTTTCTTTTCGCCTTGATATTTATATATTGTTTCAAACCTTTGACTGACAAATCGCAAAGCGTACATGTACGTATGCGTAGAGCAAAAGAACATTGTCATACGTACAAGGCTATTATTGTACACATTGTGAGCTGAGTGAATATTACAAAATTATTCATGTGAATAATTTACAACCAAAAATGTGACAAAGGAGTCGAGTTGGCTCAGTCGGTAAAAGGTCGTGGGCTCGAATCCAAGGCGGATGACTTGAGTCTGCGTTGCGTGTTAACGTGCCCCTCCTCTGCATGCTATGTTACAATGTTACAATGGAAAACACACCGTCCCTCAGATAGGACGTTAAATTGAGATCCCGTGTAGAGGAAAATCAACACCTTTGCAACTTAAGAACCGAGTGTAGTGTTCGTATAGCGGTATAAGAGTTGGAGAAACCCCGGTGTAGTGGTCCACCAACAGATATCCCAATAGGGTCAGGGGATGATCAGTTCGATTTGTGACGCCTTAATAAGTATAAATCAGTAAGATAATTGTAGAACGATTCTATGGTGAAGAGCAAATTATTTTTATTATCTTATTTGTCGTCTTATTTTGACTTAATAATGTCACATTATCTTCCAAATTAAAGGGTTGTGTTTTTCTTCTTCTCGACAAGGCAAATATTAGTAGTGGTAGAAGTATAGTGGCAGTAGAAGTAGTGGTGGTGGTGGTGGTGGTGGTAGTATAGTAGTACTGGTAGTGGTGGTGGGCGTGGTGGTAGTGGTGGTGGTGGTGGCGGTGGTGGTGGTAGGGGTAGTAGCAGTCATTGTTTTTGTTCTTGTTGTGGTGGTGGTATAGTCCCGATATGTCGCCTGGGTGGCAGAAGGGTGTTAGCTCGAATTTCAGGTCAAAAATGAAACGTTAAGCAGAAGGGCGTAAGCACTAAATCGCCTCAAACTTTTATAAACCTTATACAAATTGTGGCCGTGTTCTAATATAACACTTCTATTAGTCTTTAAAGTTTTAACCCAATTTTCGGGACGGAAAGCAGTTTAAACATAAAACAAATCTTTAAATGCGAATAATTCGAAGAGTAGTTTTCGAGTCGCTCGCGTGCTAACGCCCTTCTGCCAGCCGACCGACGTTAAATTGTTTACAGCTTTATGAAGTGCACTGTAGAATGCATTGAATCGTTTAAGCCTATTTTTGCGATAAACATTCTTTGTTTTGTTTTTCCATGGCAGCACTATTTGGAAGACTTTGGCTATCTGACCAGTAAATCTGTCGAATCGGCGACCTCTGAAAAGGACATTACTAATGCGCTCCATAAATTTCAAGAGTTTACCGGATTACACGATACAGGTATGCTTTATTTCTGATGACGTCATTGTCCTCAGTCTGCTCATCTATTTACTTTTTTACTTATACATTTGTAAATTCATTTATTTGTTAAAAATTCCCAACAAATATTTACGCAAACATTTATTTTTCTTTACAGAAATAGAAAACAATAATAAAAAGAAAGACGTGCAGTAGAACATGTAAAATAAACATTTGTGCTGAGAGAGAGAGAGAGAGAAAGTTCATTATTTGACTTTTCATGTTTGCAGTAAGCCATTTTGAGGGTGCATTGGGATGGTGCCGATAACCGAAACTAAATATTTTGAAAACTCAACATTAATCGACATAAGCAGTACTCTTTTAAACAAAATTATTGTGTGTGTGATGGGGGCGTAGTCATTAAGTTTCTAGATACATAAAATCAGTTCAGTTTGAAACCAAAATCACCGTTTCGTTACCTATGCACATGTATTTACTCTCCCCGTCCTGGCCGGCCACGCCCGGGTGACGTACGACCGACAGCTATGATCGACAATCAATCAAACGAAATGTATAATAGAGTTCTTTTAATTTAACGATTCTCGCACCTTGAGATGCATTTTTTGGTGTAAATTGCCATTTGGTCCAATTATCATATGGTCCAACGTCGTTTGGTCTGACACGACTTCGTCTATTAACATTTCGTCCATTAACCATTTGTGCAGTAATCACTTCGCCCAATGAGCCAGTAATCTAGCTATAACCGTCTCGTTTTAAGAACTATTTGGTTTATTTACCATTAAGTCTACACCCATTTTGCTGAATTAACATTTTTTTCACTATCAAGTTTGTCACAAATATCCAGTTCGTCAAAAATATCCAAGTTGGTCTTAAAGCCGTTAACCCCGTTTCGTCTAATATCCACTGCCTGACTTGACCTAATCATCAGTTAGTCTAATTACCGTTATGTCTAGTCATCACTTCTTCCATTAACCAATCAGTCTAATTATCATGTCGTCCAATGCCGATTTGGTCTAATATTCATTTAGTCCAGTCCAATACTATTGGTCTCTACCCAATCTGTCCCAATTCGTCCACATAGGCCTACAGGTCGTCCAATAACTGGGTATAGACCAAGTAAAGTCAGACGATCTTGGTAACAAATGGCTTTGGACCAAATGGCAATAAACCACCAAATCTCTCCTTTAAAGCCTATCTGCACTAGTTTGGCCAAGGGGGATTGGACTTCCCTGCATGGTCACTGGTTTTCCCTCCAAACATCAGAGCAGTATTAGTAATGCATGAAATACTTGTGTATCAGGAGATTAACATTATTTGATTCGGTATTTCACGTACCCCTCTGCCCCCCCCCCTATACACACCACTGGTCATACACTTGAGCTGTCGGTATGGGCTTGAAGAACAGAAAAGTTTAAAGGTGTATACCAGTTTTGGTAAAATTGCGGTTCAAGGGTTTTGGGTGCAAAATATCCATTCACTATTGTTTAAATATCGCCTTCAGAGGTTTAGAGGGCATTATACTTCAACCTAAATTTACAAAAGAGCAGAAATATTTGCCCTAAATGTTCAATGTAGAAGTGCATTCGCGATATCTATCCAGGCCGGATCGATATGATAATTTACAAAATATGGTAGGCGGCTTCCCGGCAAAATTGTTGTCGTCACGTATTAGTCAAAACATATTCTTTTCACATGATTGGTAATAATAGCTTCGATTTCATTTTTTGAGAGGGGGCGTTTCCAAAACTGGTCTATACCTTTAAATAAATGCACACTTTCTTTCATTTTCATGTCTCAACAGGTGAGGAAGATATGACGACGATGATCAAGATGTTAGAGCCTCGATGCGGTGATAGCGACGTCGATGACCACGACATGTCACCATCTGACCCGAGAGGGATGCGCCATAAACGATGGGCTATTTTCCAGAAATGGCCCAAGAACGATTTAACCTATCGAATCTCCACCTACACCGACAAGCTGCCTGTCGATATAGTGGATGACGCAGTGTCTAGGGCATTCAAGGTATTTATCTGTCCGAGATTGGTATGACCTTTCGTCTACATCGATCCTCCCTAAGATTTCTCCATTCTGAACTTAATTTTAGCAATCCATTATGATTTTTTTCCTCCCAGAAACAGAAATATTCAGCTTTAAACAGCATTTGCTGTCAATACATGTTTTTAATGTAGCTGACGAATTTCAAGCAAATCAAATAAGGAGTTTTTTTATTTTTTATATTGACGAATATTTTTGCATTTGATCATTTCGGGACATTTTCTATCATCATTTTAAAGTCCACTTTTTCAATTTACTGGTCATTGGTAGCTTTGCTCAGCATGTGCTTTTCTTGCTTCGTTGTTCATGACTGATTATCAAACCTTGTAAGGAATTGGTTGATTCCGTCCGTTCAGATAGCATCGTAAACATTTTATAACATTTTATAATATTGTATCGATGGCTGATATTATAAACCTCGGTTATTATGTTTATTAGCTGTTGAAATCGAGTTTAAAGTGATGAAATTGTAAATGATAAACTCTTTATGTTGTATAGCACCCTCTCAAGGTCAAGATATTAATTTAGCTACAAAACAACCTTTGTTGACTAAAATCGACCAATTGGTTGGAAATTATTTATCAAAATTTACCGGGAGCACCGAAAAAAAATTGTATATAATTTATCTCGAAAGCAGATTAAAGTGTTTTAGGGGCTACATTTTCTAGTGCTTATAATACATTCACATGGGCATCCAATGGTAAAGAATCACTATCCAGCCAATTTTTCAAAAGTTACCAAAGCTTTGTCTGTTTTGACAATAATTATTCCATTTCAGCTGTGGTCTGATGTTGCCAACATCACCTTCACCAAGATCTCCAGTGGCAAGGCTGATATTGATATCTCATTCCACCGGGGAGATCATGGCGACAGTCGGCCCTTTGATGGCTCTGGTTTGGTACTAGGACACGCATTCCCTCCTGGTCTTATTACATCCAGACCAGATCTCATTGGCAGTATTCACCTGGATGATGAGGAGAACTGGACAGCCAATTCACGATCAGGTATCTTCATTGTTCCTTCCTTATGTTTGGTCTTAGGGTTTGTGGTCTAGTGGATAAGTCGTCGGATTGTGGATCACAGGATCCAGAAGCGGATCTAGAGGGGGGGGGGGGGGGGGTTGGGGGGTTGTAACCCCCCCCCCAAAAAAAATCCGGGGACCATTTTTTAAATCTTATCTTTTTTTTTAAACTTGTAATTTTATTTTATTCTATTTCTATGTATTTATTTCATTTATTATTATTATTATTATTATTATTATTATTATTATTATTATTATTATTATTATTATTATTATTTCTTTTTGGGGGGAGGGGGGGGGGGGGTTGGGCGAACACATGTCACAGAGTCCCTTGCCCCCCCCCCCCCCATCAGCTTTTTTGAGGACACGGGCCACCGCCGAAGTGACAAGCTAGGCCAGCGTTGCCGATTCTCATCCCCAAAATCCCCACATTAAAAAAAAAAAAAAAAATGGGGATTGTTGAAGTCTTTGGGGATGAAAAATAAATATTTGGGAATGAAAATAATATTGAGTTTTATGAAAAACGAATTTGGGGATTTTCTGTCAAAATTTGGCAACTTTGGGGATATTTTAGGTGTCGTTTGGGTGGGGATTTTGTGAAGATTTAACCTGGCAACGCACGCTGAGCTGGGCTGCTCATTTCCTGGATTACTTGTTCACGGTTGCTCACTTTTTTATCAGTCTGGTCTGAGTGTAGTGACAAGCAATATGGAAGCAAACAGGGCAAAGAAGTTGCGGCAATCCAGTCTCGCATCTTTTTTTACTGGAAGGTATGTTTGAATCAAGCCCTGTTTGAATCATGCAAAAAAGTTGGCATACAGGGTAAATTACCATACATGGGGGTGTAATACGGACGTGTTCATGCACTGCTTTTTATGGTCTCCATTGTGTTAATAGATGCCAGGAAAACATCACTAATGCGGTGGTCACATCCCGCCGTACTTGCAAGTGCGTGCTGTCTACGTGCAAAAACGTGGGCAAAATTTGGGTATCGGTACGTGGTGAGTACCGCCTCCGTACGGATTTGGGAGCACGCAGACACACCGTAGCACTTTTAGTGCACGAGGAACTTACGCTGCGTTCGGGCTACCGATTCACCCCTAGTGCGCGTGACGTGCGTGCCCGGTACTGCCAACGAGCGCACAACGCACTGACTCCGTGCGTTTTTAAATTTGTTTCCCACGATCACTTGCTCTACGGAAGGCGCACTTAGCACGTGCGTGCTGCGCACGTGATAAGCGCGTGGTCCGTGCTTACTCGCCACTTCCCCAGTTCAACTTTCTGATGAGCACGCAGAACTCACGTGGACCGTACCGAGTAAGCACGTGCTCCGCACTTACAACGCACGTTGTGCGCACTGATTAATGCAGTATACAAAAGCCGAGCCGACGGAAGAGTGCCAAAATTTCGTCTCCAAGATGGCGCCGAAGAAGACACATAATAAGGGGTCAGCTGCATCTGCAGCTCAAAAGGCAGCGGATAAGAAGGCCAGAGAGGCCCAACAGAAACGGGCCGCGGAAGATGAGAGGCCAGAGAGGAAGAGTGGAGGAGGAGCGAAAAAGAGTCAGATGGTGACGCCAAAGCGTCTGATCATGAGGAGGGTGCTGCTGGTGGATCGAAGAAGGGGTCACATGAAAAGGGTGTGACATGGAAAAGGCCAACTGCTCGTTCTCGGCGAAACAGGAGGAGCGCCTGGTTGAGTTCTTCTCGGTCAATCCGGTCTTCTTCGATAAGTTTCCCAGGGTTTTCCCTTCCCTTGAGGCCCGTTGGCCGACCATCTGGTTGGGTTCGGTCATCTGCACATCCTCCCTCCAGGCCCCGGGGACCACGTTGCCATCCTCATCCTCGTGGTCCAAATTAAGGTCCTGTAGTCCGGGCTGGCGCTTTCGCAGCCAATTGTGAAGGGTGAGGCAGCCCAACACAACGCGAATCACCCTGTCAGGCTCCAACAGCAGGGTGGTGAGTAGGCACCGCCACCGGTGAGCCAATATCCCGAAGCCGTTCTCCACAACCCGACGGGCCCGAGAGGTCCGATAGTTCATCACGCTCTCTTTGTGGGTCATGGCACGGCGACTGTATGGCTTCAAGAGCCACTTTCGCAGGGGAAAAGCATCATCGTCTATGATGAAGTAGGGAAAGTTCCGGTCGTCGCCTGGAAGTGGATCCGGTGCTGGGAATCCAATGTTGTCCTCCAGTGCCCCCCGGAGGGTGGACTCGTTGAACACGCGTGCGTCTGAGGATGAGCCGTTTGCCCCCACCTTGCACCACAAGAAGGAATAGTTAGCATCCACGATGGCCAGGAGCACCACAGAACAGAAGCGCTTATAATTGTAATAGAGCGATCCACTTTTATTGGGCTTCTTGATGGCGATATGTTTCCCATCGATCGCCCCATAACAGTGGTAAAAGTTCCATCGCGTTCCAAACTGGCTGGCGACGGCTTTCCATGCACTCGTCCTGTGTGGAGGGCATGTTGAACATCTCCTCCTTATGTACCTTGTAGATGGCGGTGCAGACCTCCGGCACGAACGTGGATATGCTGTTGTGTGCCCATTCGTTGGGTCCATTCGGATGTATCCGACATAGTCCCCCCGCGATTCACGCTCTAGCTCTTGAAACACATTTCGTACTGCCCGAAAAGCCTCCTCCTCTCGATCCATGGGCGAACCCACCATCTCCTGCGTCGGCATCTCTGTTGCCTCTCTCTCTCTCCCGTATCAAGGCAAGTAATACCACGTCGTGCTCATGCGCTGCCACTTGAAGGTGTTCTTGCAGCATCAGAACCCGGAGTCTCTGCGGTGGAATGGGCGGCATCTTGAGGAGGCAGCAGCAGCTGGGACTTCTAGAGAAAATGGGAATGTCGTCCTATATACTTCGACATACCCCGACTCACCAAGTTCTTCATACGTGCACGCACTTACAACGTGCGAGTGAGTAAGGACACCGTACGTGAGGAGTACGTGTAAGTACGGCCTCCGTAAGATAACGTGGCAACCGCACGGAGACCGTACGTTGTAAGCACGTAGTAAGCACGTACAACGCACTTACCACGTGCGCAACGTACGATGCACGCAACCGCTCTAGGCCAGGCGTGGCGTGCGGGCCACGTACTTACACCGTGCGTGTGACGTGCTTTGCCCGTACTCCCTCCCTGCCTTTGCCACTCCCTCCCTACGTTTTCAGAAAACGTGGCGGCCGTGGCCTCCCCAAAAACCGTACGGACTAAAAACACGCACGGTGGGATGTGACCAACGCTTTACGGGGTTCAAATAAACACCCCAAAAAAAATCGGCTCGCCGCTTCGCGGCTCGTGGACGATGCTCCACATCGTCATTATTGGTCACCCCCCCCCCCCCTTAGCAAAAAGCTAGATCCGCCCCTGGGATCCGCGGTTCGAGTCCCGCCACGGCACTAATGTCCTTTGGCAAGATATTGATCTACATTTGCCAGTCTCCACCCAGGTGTTAAATGGGTACCGGTAGGAAGGAATTCCTTGAAAGCTGTTAGCGCCGAAATCGGCTGCCAAGCAGAGCCGGGGTAATAGTTGGAACGCCTAATTAAGCACTATGCATGGAGGATGTGCGCTATATAAATATCATTATCATCATTATTATTATCATTATTCATGACTTAATGTAGTTCTGTTATAGTTAATGAACTTGAATCAACTGCATCAGGTCTAAGGAATTAGAAAAGTAAGATGATGAAGGGGGATGATAACGCTGAGGTAAACACTGTTTTATATATTGAATGAATGAATGATCTCTGTGTTATATCGTTCCACATCTATTAACAAGAAGCCGGGTTTTTTTAATCGATAACCGATTTGATTAATACAATTCGTAACTGTTACTTAGCTGTGTGATAGTCCTTGAATCATGACTATAATTATCTTCATATTGACAAACCTCCTCCATTTCTCTTTTCCGAATCTTCCACGTACAGGAAAGAATCTGTGGTTGACAGTTGGTCATGAGATAGGTCATGCTATTGGACTGAGTCATTCCCGGGTCTTGCCCGCCCTCATGTATCCTTGGTATCCGAGCTATAATCCAAGCTTTACGCTCGATCGAGACGATATCGAAGGCGTCCAGTTCTTGTATGGTGAGTCAGTGTCTACATCGTCTTCGTCTCCGTATCCGGACACCTACCCCCTGGACAACCACCCTAGGATAACCACCCTCTTGGACAACCGTACCCCTAGGATAACCACCCTCTAGGACAACTACCCCCTAGGACAACTACCCCCAGGCAACTTCCCCCTATGATAGTGTCCGGGGGTAGTTGTCATAGAGGATGGTTGTCGTAGGGGGTAGTTGTCTGGGGGTAGTTATCCTAGGGGTGGTTATCCGAGGGGTGGTTGCCCTAGGGAGTAGTTGTCCTAGGGGGTAGATGTCCTAGAGGGTGGTTATCCTATAGGGGTGGTTATCCGAGGGGTGGTTGTCCAGGGGGGTAGGTGTCCTAGAACCCTAATCAGTGGTATTATAGATCAAATGGCCCGATGTCATTTTGTTATCTGCATACATTTATCAATCTCTATTTATGTATCATCCATCGATTTCTATTTAATTATCTTCCATCTATCTCTATTTATCTATCAGCCATCCATTTCTATCTATCCTCCATCTATATCTGTTTATCAGAGTCTCTATCTATCCTTCATCTCTTTCTATTCGTCTATCCTCCATCTCTATCTATCCCCCATCTATATCTGTTTATCTATTTCAGAGTCTCTATCTATCCTTCATCTATATCTGTGTTTCTATTTCATAGTCTAGTACTATCTATCCTTCATCTCTTTCTATTCTAATATCCTCCATCTATCTCTACATGTCTACATTTGTCCTTTCCTCTCTAAGTATCGATATATTAATTATGGTTGTAACTGTATATTCAAGTATCAAGTATTAAAGCTTATCTGTCGTAGTTTACAGGAGGGATTAGACCGCTCTGCAAGGTCACTGGACATGTGGTTATCTCATCAACTCATCTCTCAGTTAACATAAGAAAAAGAGGATCATGGCGGACCAATGGTCACCGATTCTGCATTGTTTGTTATATAGAGGGCGCAAGTAGCTACCAGTAGTGCAGTGGGCCTTTAAGAACACCTATTATTGAATCATATTTTCTTACCAGGTGCTCGACCTGGAGCAGAACTTGTACTTCCAACCAGCTCCCCCCAGGGACCCAACAATCCCAACATACCCAATCTATGCATGGCGCATCCTGACACCATCACATTGACTGCTGGAGGAAATATGTATGCTTTCAAAGGTAACTTGGAGAGGAAGATGGGTGTAGGCATGAGTCTCGTCAGAGCCATCTAGACACAGAGTTTGGCCAAAGCCGCCAAAGCCGGTTCGAGTTGTACACAATATGGCGACTTCTGCTTTGTTGGGCAAGCACAAAACAAAAGAATATACGCCATGTTGTGACCCAGTGAAACCAAGTTGGCCAATTAAACTCTGTGTATGGATGGCTCTGAGTCCAGTAGTCTTATGAGGGAGGGCAAATATGTAATAATCATGATAATGTCAATAATGATGCTCATGATGGTGGTTGTGGTTAGAAAGGGATTATGTTAAAAGCGTCTATTATATGACGAGGTTTTTGAGAATAATACAAATTAAGGTGGGATAGACCGACAGCCAACGTGACCGACGCTTGCACTGTCGGTCTCACGGGCTGACGTCATGATAATGGTCATCTGCTTACATGACTGAAATTGGCTAATCTTTTTTCAAAAGTTATAAACAGATTTTAAGACCGCTACCTCCAATTTCAATCGCTCACTAGGGAGATTAATTTATTAAGGAATAGACGGGTATTGATCATTTGAAAAACATCCGGTACTATATTTTCAGAGTTTTTTTGGGATAGATAAACACTTTACCATTTGTTTACTTTCTACTACATGCATCCCTAGTGAAAGGATTCATTGGTGCAGATTGCAATGCCATGTAGTGATCTGAGAGGATGGGTGTTCAGATCCTTCTAATTATATTATGTATCGCAGAACTGAAGACTGAAGAAGGTCTTACTACCTTACCCCTTTTTTCAATTGCAGACAGTTTTTATTGGATGTTAGAGCAAGGCCAGGTTGTGCCGGGGTTCCCCAAGCTTATCTCGAACAACTGGCCAGGGCTACAAAGCAACCTCTCTGCATCCTTCTCAATGAAAAACCCACGAGTATGGGGGAGTGATGACGTAGGAAAGACATACTTCTTTAAGGTACGAGTATACATGTCATTAAATGATTAGTCTAATAATAAAATGGAGAATGAATGTTATCAATACAATTACTTCTTTTAAGCGATATTTAGGACACTCCTGAAATTTCAGATTATTATTTTTCTTTGTTCTTGATGTTCTTAGCATTACTTTTGGAAAGGGTGATATATCTTGTGTAGTTGTTGCTGTTACTACTGCCACTATATTACTACTACTACTACTACTACTACTACTACTACTACTACTACTACTACTGCTACTACTACTACTACTACTACTTTCAGGCCTGACTACTTCTGCTACTACTACTACTACTACTACTACTACTACTACTACTACTACTACTACTACTACTACTCCTCCTTCTACTACTAATACTACTACTACTACTACTACTACTACTACTACTACTCCTTCTTCTACTTACTACTACTACTACTAATACTACTATAAATAATACTATTATTATTATTACTACTACTACTATTACTACGCCTAATATTGTTGTCTTGGTTGTTGTTACAAGGTTGGTGTTCATTAAAGAGTACATAATAATTTCAAACACTAATATAATATTCCTTTTCCCCCAACAGACTATATCAGGGAGTGTTGCAGTATGGAAATACAGCTCTGCAAACATTTTAGAACCCGGTTACCCTAAAGCCCTCGAGACTGTGTTTCCTGATTTCAGGCCCAGCAGTCCAATCGTATCCGTGCAAGGCGTAGCAGAAATCAGCGGGAATGGAGAAACCATCTTCGTCATGGGTAAATATTTTATCTCTTCCTTCCTCCTCCTTTTCTCCTCAATTGTCCTTCTTGTTCTTCCTTTCTTCTTCTTCTTCTTCTTCTTCTTCTTTTCTTCTTCTCTTTCTCCTATCTTTCTTCCTTTGTCTTCAATATCTTTCTTCTTCTCCACCGCATTCTTTTTCTTTCTTTCCTTCCTCTCCTCTTTATTTTCATTCTATTTTCTCCTCTGTCTTTCTCTAATTCCCCCTCCTTTTGGTATAAGTAAAGTTTAAAAAAAGCTTCCCTTTACACTTATGTTTAAGGGTGTGTCTAAAGGTCAGCATTCGTCATCTAATTGATGGAAGGGTAACACAATAAATTACAGCACTTAGAGAGAAAGTTAGGTTCTGTGAAGAGGTGAAAAATAATTTGTGAGCGTTATCACTGAATTATGCAAGTGTGGAAGAACATCGGATAAAACATGTTCCCTGAAAAGCATGGCTCTTCAAATGCCTTAATATTTTAAATATGGCATGTAACATCATACAAATCGGGACAGATTTTTATGCCGCTTGTTCGTGTAGTCCCATATACATCTTTCTGTGTACAGTGCTTGTAACTTTACCAAGAATGGGCCAAATTTCTTGTCATTTTGATGATTCCAGAACCTTGCAGTGCAAACCAATACTTATATGCTAGACCTTTATGATCGATTCAACAACGTTTCTTTCACAATGCAATCGCATGACCAGAACTCAACTTTATCTTTAACCCTCATCCACGTATATTCACTTTCTCTCTTCCAGACAATCAAATCTACCTCTATGGCTGGGAGAAGGTCTTCCGAGGGTCGTACCTCGTCACGGACATCTTCCCTAACCTCGTGGGCAAAGTGGTCTCTATGATCCAAGGAGCAGATAACTACCTCTATTTCTTCATGGAAGGTGGTTTATACTACCAGGTATCTCCTTGGACCTTCAATATCAGTACTTACTTTCCCAAACCTGCTGTGCAAGACTGGTTCAGCTGTAACGCGTGAGCTCTAGCTGTATGGTGAGCAGTGCAGGCCACTCCAGTCCCAAGACTGCAAGCAACGTACCTACCAAAATTAATGCCTTAGATATAATGACAAGGGGCCTGTTTCATAAAATTTGTTATCAATAACAAGTTCCAAGCTACTGTTATAAGCTACTGAAATCATGGCATCTGATTGGCTGAGAGCAAATTTGTCATAGAAATTTAGAAGTTGTTATAGATACAAGTTTTATGAAACAGGCCCCTGATGTGCACCTTGGATAGATGAAAAATTACCATGTGTGTGTTTAATTTATCATATACCATAATCACACGAAAGATTATTGTTCTAATGAGTATGAATAGTAAAATTGAGAAATGGTATTGTAAATATTGATATTAGACTGAAACTTATCATAAAAGAATAATTAAATATGAATATTGTAGTTGTATTTTCTATAAAACATTTTGCTATTTGAAATGATAAGAAACATAAAAACACAGAAAAATGTATTCGAGGTTTCTGATGTTAAATTGTTGCAATGCGAAGGCTGGACCTTTGTTGTCTTGTTTATGGTAATGACTAATTATACATGTAGGTTATCAGATATCCTGCTTTTCTTGCTGCTTTCAACTTTTTAGATGTATATAAGGAGTTGAAATCATAGATATATTGGATTGTTTTGCCTATCATTGTATTTTATGTTTATTATTCAGGGAGATGAGAAGTCATTAATGGGGCTGGTACCCATCCAATTACCCTCACTAATTATTTGTTTATTCATACATTCTTTGTAAACGATTATGTATGAATTTTTGGAGAAAATGCATGAGCTGTACACAATAATGAATTTAGTAGCATTTTTCGTGAATGCTTATTTAGTTTTCATCTTCAAGTTTCATTCGAGATTTATATATACCATACTTAATCATGTATGCAGAATAAATGTCCATTTATTAACCCTTTTTTAACCTGTATTTTCATAATGGCAAGGGTATGTGAGCGGTTGTGTGTGCGTGAGAGAGAGGGAGAGAGGGGGGACGGGAGAGAGAGAAAGAGAGAGAGGGAAAGAGAGAGAGAGAGAGAGAGAGAGAGGGAGAGAGAGAGAGAAAGAGAGAGAGAGAGAAAGAGAGAGAGAGAGAGAGAGAGAGAGATAGAGAGAGGTATGGGAGGAGAGGAAAGAAAGAAGAGGAGGGAGGGGTGAGAAAGAGAAAGAATGAAAAGATGAAGGAAAGGCAGAGAGAGAGAAAGAGAGAGAGAGAGAGAGAGAGAAAGAGAGAGAGAGAGAGAAAGAGAGAGAGAGAGAGAGAGAGAGAGAGAGATAGAGAGAGGTATGGGAGGAGAGGAAAGAAAGAAGAGGAGGGAGGGGTGAGAAAGAAAAAGAATGAAAAGATGAAGGAAAGGCAGAGAGAGAGAGAGAAAGAGAGAGAGGGCAAGAAAAAAAAATGAAATGAAATTGAGAACAGGGAAATGAACAAGTTAAGAAAAAAGTTAGAGGAGGTGAAGAATTTCGTTGAAGAAAAAGAGTGAGAAGGGGAATACGGGATGTGGGGGTAAGAGTGGGAATAAAGAAACAGAGCAGAGAAAAATGAAAGACGAACAGAGGGGAGGGAAATTGACATTTTCATGATTCGAAACAAAATAATCATAATTCACACATAAGAAAATCAGTTGAACTATTAACCACTCAACTTCAAATAGATATGATAGTGATTTCACTCACTTCAATTCGTTTTCAATTGATTATATTTCATTTCATTTGATTCTATTTGATTTTACTTTATTTTACTTGCTTCCATTCGTATTCACTCAATGATTCCTTTGGATTTCATTTGATTCCATTTGATTTCATTTAATTCCATTTGATTTCATTTAATTCCATTTGATTTCATTTAATTCCATTTAATTTCACTTGCCTCCCACTAATTTCACTTGCTTCCATTTGATTTCGCTTGATTACATTTCATTTCATTTCACTTGCTTCCATTTCACCTGATTCCATTCTAAGAAATCTGAGCTTTTATTAAATTGCAAATGACCTCCAAATCATATGAAAAATAATTTCATATATATGCTCAAATGTTTTGCTTTCTTTTACCCTTCAAAAAAGATATCGCAGTACAGTGACGACATACTCATTCACAAGATGTACACCACGGCCACGGCTTAAACAATATCCCGATTTAATCCGTTTCATTTCCTAACATAATCTAAATCTGAGCTTTCCGGTTAAGATTAGGAAAGGTCAAATTGAGAGCACTGCGTGATCCGAAGTTTGAGAAATAAATTCTCAAGAGCTTGGACAATCTTTATATAACATTGGGTTATGAAATAATGGAGTTATAGTGTCATTTGAGTCTTTTTAATTTATTCTATACTGTTGCCCATAAAGTTGGTATATTTAATAATATATATATCTCTCTTTCCCTCCCTCCCCCTTATCGCTCCCTCTCGTCTTCTCTCTCTCTCTCTCTCTCTCTCTCGTTCTCCCGTCTCATCTTCTCTCTCTCTCTCTCTATTTCCCTCTCTCTCTCTCCCCTCTCTCTCTCCGTCTCGTCTTCTCTCTCTCTCTCTCTCTCTCTCTCTCTTTCTACCCCTCCCTGTCTCTCCCCTTTCTCTCTATCAGTTTGCACTCTCTCTCTGCATCTCCTCAGTCCTCTTAGCACTTCCCCCTTCTCTTCTTCTCTTCGTCCCTCGTACATTTCTCTATCCATATCCTGTCTTTCAGACAGAACAAATTGATAAACAAACAAGTAAATGAAATGATAAGAAGAATGAAAGGAATATCATAAGATTGAACATGTTTGTAATTACACATACTGTACATCATTTTATCAAAACATGATAACAAATAAATAAATAACGATATAAAATACCAGTAGAAGAGAATTCATGACCTGAAAGAATACAATGCAATACTAACCTATACAAAAGTAATTACAGTACTCAATATGATAATAATAAGTAATATAAGAAAGATTATACAAACAAATCATACGATACATCGTTTATAAGTGATCTCTCCCAGAAAACGTTGCTCATGACAAGCACTCAAAATAATTAAGATTAAAAAGCAATCCCACCTTTGTAATAAGTTCATTTTTAACGAAAGTAGAAGATAGGTTAAAAGGAACGGCGAAAGTATGATATAAATCGGACCAATATAATAAGAAAGTTATGAATGTTTGAAATATGAAATCGTTTTATTGTCAATGCGAATCTAAAATTGACAGTTTGGTCAATGGATTGTGACGTAGTCGCGGATTACTCTCCCGTTTGTTCGTGTAATAAAATATCATAATGTTCTTATTTCTTCCTAAGTACCTTCTTCCTTTGGGGTACTCAAAATATATTATGAGTGGCATATTATCATAGGTCCTCCATGGAGAAAGGACCCTCCTGAGTCATACATTTTAGGGGGAGGGGAATGAAAGTTAAATTACTTCGTGTGTTGTTGGAACAAATGGGAAGGTTTTCCGCCACTACATCAAAGAGACATTAAGGATTCAGCCAATTTGAAGAATTAAGAAACCCCATTAATTCCTCCGAAAATGTCCTTTATTCCCCCCCCCCCCTCTCTCTCTCTCTCTCTCTCTCTCACTCTCTTTCTCTCTCTCACCCTCTCTCTCTCTCTCTCGTCTCTCTCTTCGCGCGTCTTGAGATCCTGTCCACCCGGAGAGCTCGTCCCTCCTTACCATGCACCTGAGATGGATCAATGCTTATGATCCGCTACTCTCTCCTACGCCACTACTATTAAAGTTTATGTCTTTGCGCAGGCGCCATCTGCTACCAGCTTGAGGTTGCTGTTGCCATGGTCACAAGCGGATTTTCTTAGCTGACATAAGTTGCCATACGTGATACCGTCTGATGCACAGACTACTTGATCACGTGAGATGAAAGATGGGCATGGTGAACAGATTGGACCAAGGATACCTCCTACAACCAAGCAGAATATGATAGAATCGAGATTAAATGAAGAAAATGAGTCAATTAATTTAAAAAATGGGGAAACAGAAGGGAGAGAGTGGGTTAGGGAAGGGGGTGAGGAGGGGAGGAGGTGTGGGAAGCATTACGAATGTGAGGATGAATAATATTTCCTTGCATTTGAACTGTTTAACCAGTCCCTCGTATTTTGTCAAGTAATACCATTGCAAGAGTTAGCACGCAGAATCAAATCAACTTGAAATTGTATGAGATACAGTCCTACTTGACGCGACGTGAAGTAGTCGTTTTCTTCCTCTCTACAAAATATTATCATGTAGTGTTCTAAACCTACCTGGTCTGTCTTCAAGAGTTGACGCTTCGCTGAGTGGTTCACAACCAATATCGCCAGCAGCAAGATCACATACTCCACCTCCTCCACCTCCTCCGTCTCCTCCACCTCCTCCACCTCCTCCGTCTCCCCCATCTCCTCCATCACCGTCCTCGCCACTGTCACCGTCACCTTCATCGCCGCCATCACCATCGCCATCTCCGTCACCACCCTCATCACCACCATCTCCGTCATCACCGTCGTCAGATGGAGCAGGTACGGGAACTGGAATATAGATGACTTCGACTTCTGCCTCGCCACCGCCATCACCTCCACCACCATCACCTCCACCACCATCGCCGCCTCCTCCACCTGCATCTCCTCCTCCATCTCCTCCTCCGTCCCCTCCTCCGTCACCACCACCGTCTCCACCACCGTCACCACCTCCACCTCCACCGCCGCCGTCACCACCGCCATCACCACCGTCACCACCGTCACCACCATCACCACCATCGCCACCATCGCCTCCATCCTCTTCACTGCTGGATGAATCAGAACTCGAGCCTCCGCCATCACCGCCGTCCCCGCAGTCACCTCCGTCACCTCCATCACCACAATCGCCTCCATCGCCGCCGTCACAACCACCGTCGCATCCACCGTCTCCGCCATCTCCTCCATCTCCACAATCACCGCCACCACCGCAGCCATCGTTCGTATCACAGCCGCCTCCATCACAGCCTCCACCATTTCCTCCACCACCGTCGCCGCCACCACCGCAGTCTCCACCGCAATCCCCACCACCGCCATCACCGCCATCACCGCCATCGCCGCCATCGCCGCCATCGCAACCACCGTCGCCGCCGCCACATCCGCCATCACCACCGCCACCACCACAGCCCGCATCGCAACCACCGTCTCCCCCATCACCGCCGCCATCACCTCCGCCATCACAACCCCCATCGCAGCCACCACCAGCGTCACAACCTCCATCCCCTCCACCACCATCCCCACCACAATCTCCACCGCAGTCTCCTCCACCATCTCCTCCGCAATCTCCACCGCAGTTTCCCCCTCCGTCTCCACCGCAATCTGCATCACCTCCATCACCACCATCACCACCATCCTCTTCGCTGCTGCTGCTGCTGCTGCTGCTTCTTCTGTACCTCTGAGCTAATAAAGCAAGGCATACACAATTAATTCAATCGTATGCTGTTGCTGTTCTTGTTTTTACATAAATTATCAATGTTAAGATTTTTGTTGTTTGATGGCATTGAAGTAGTAACCAAACGTTTGTGTTTATTGTGGACAATGAATAAATAAAATTCATAATATTCAGTCGGTAGACTTCACTGGGTTTACTATAATGGTTTTGTTTGTTGAATTGTTATTCTTAATAATCTGTCATAAAATTATTATGTTCTCAATTTATTAGTCAAAATGATACACGTAACATTTCACATACAGTCAAACCTGTTCACAGGAAACACAAAAAGGGCCACTGGAGACAGGCTGCCCCTCTAAACAGGTTTTCCTACACACACTCCCTTTTAGAGGGAGTCAAAATTGGTAACCTTTATAAACAGGTGGCCATCAAGACAGGTTTTACTGTATATTACTGCCATCTGGTTATTTTTTAAGATTTTAAAGGTTGCTAAAATGCGATTAGATAAGAGAATTATAGGTTTTGATTCTCACCTGGTGTTGCGGTGGTCATCGCTGCCAGGAGCACGATGATGGCTAGAGAAAGCCACAGTTGCCCCATGGTTGTGGCTACGTGTCCTAATATTCAAATGAAAATTGAACAGCCGAATTAATTGCAGTAACTACGACTCAGTAATACTATGTTTTCATCAATTTAGATAACATGCAATTGGAAAACAATATACATGAACCCATTATTACCCCCAAGCTGCAAATCAAAGCACATAAATCTATGACGAGGATAGGCTAGCAGCTTCATTATTGGCTACATAAAATATTTTTTTCTCCAAAATAAGGTTCTGCTTTTAATTAATGACCTACGTTTCAACAGTTATCTCCAATTTGTCTTATAACAATGGATAACGAATCAAAATGAATAGTCTTGGTCTTAAAATTTCGTGATTCTTTTGAAAGGAAAAATAAATAACACTCTCTCATCTATAGCTAGTTGATTTTCATTGCATTATAATAAATTAAAGAATGAATTACACCAACATAAGCTAAAGGAAACAGTTCTACTTACTTTTACTTTCTAACTGGTTGGTCAATGTGCTGTTCAGTTCCGATGAGGAACATCAATGACTATAGCCCTTTATGGCTCACCCATATTTATATGTTTCCAAATGATGATAGCCATGAACTTCAGATAGAGAAGTGAAAGAAAAGGCAGTTTTCTGCTTCGATTGAATCACAAACGCAATAGAAATTTTTTTCACAGGGCCTATCTTTCTTGGTTGAGATTAAGGATATGAAATCGAAAAGAAAATTCTATCCATTATCAATTTTTGTTTTCCGATGTTGTATCTTTAGATTTTCTCATCAATGTTTGATTCATATAACTTATACTCACACGTGTCATGTCCTGTCAATGATGATAAAGTTATGATTAATAAAATCACATTAAAAAATATATAAAAGAAACAAAAGCTATCATTGATTAAGGACATGTGTTTCTTAATCTAATCCTCAACATCCGGTCGGATTTATAATGACCAACTGACCAGCTTGTGTGAGCTTCATCAGATTATCGGAATTTCCTTGATTTTTCATCGGTCAATATATGACACAAAATAGTGCGATTAAGAACGATAACTATATTTAAAGTTTTAATATTGTTGTTCGATTTATTCACACGCATCTGACCAAGACTTGATATTATCTGGAAAAACAATGAAAGGCATATTTCACGATTATAGAAAACATACTAAAATATAATTTACAAAATGTATGCATTACAATGCAAACTATGAGAACGAAATCAACGTTGAACAAGTTGTAGTCCAATAAATTGTCATAAAGTTAGCAATGAAAATGTTGTGGCTGGCAGTTGACACTATAAAATTATTTAGAGTTTCTTCTTTTCATCCATGTCAGCCGAAGCACTGTTTATATTAAGGAGATTTTTTGTTGTTGAATTCAACAAATACTTAATGCTGGTAAGAGGAAGGGTAAAAACGAAAAGAAAAGAAATATATTTGATACAACTTATCTATAACATCGTTGGTGCATAATATAATACTTGTGTTCATGGCGTGGCAGGGAGGAAAGGGAAAAAGCAGTGTTAGATCATGCAGACTGACAGTAGAGTTTTAAACGTTTCGGGGTAAATCTCTTGAAGTTGACATGCCCCCTCCCCCCCCCCTCCCCCTCCCCCTCCCAACCACATTCGTATGAGGCGAGATGGCCATGATGGACCTCTCCTGAGAATGGTGAAACACAATGACACACCCATTATTTGGAGACCCCCCCCCCTCTCTCTCTCTCTCTCTCTCTCTCTCTCTCTCTCTCTCTCTCTCTCTCTTCCTCCTTCCCCGTCCTTTTTGTTCCTCGCTTAAAAAGTGCTCGATACTTGATAAGGATAGTTTAATAGTATGTGCTATATAACTTGTATAAAGTGTATGGAATTTAAAGGGAATTCCAACATAGAGAGCAGCTCCCCTTGAAGAAGGCAGAAAACTGAGGAACTTTCATATAGGTAAAAGTTTGAATAAAATCGGACAAAGAATGAGAAAATATTTAATTTTTAAAATTTGCAATCACTATAGGTAATAATAGTCGGTAATGTCTCTGTGATCTACCGACGGAAAACTTAGCCATTTGTTGAACACACAAAATTACTAAAATGTCAATTTTTCAAAAATGTATTACTCGGGATGGTCTCTTCTATTTAGAGGGCCTTTAATGATACTCTCCATACTATGTTTTGAGAAATGCCACAAGGGTCGAAAGCACGTTGTTGCAAAAACAGAAATTAGTGATATTTTGGTACACGAGAAACGGAACAGCTATCCGTCACTACGTCACAATCCACCGACAAAATTGTCAACTTTATATTTGCATTGCTGTAGTGATCTCATATTTCATACATTTATAACTTTCTTATTATTGCTCCGATTCATTTCAACCTTTCGTCATTCTGTTTCTCTTATTTTTTTGCTTTCATTAATATGAACTTATTACAAGAGTTAGATTGCCCTTCAAGGGTTTTTATAAACAAAATGTATCAGATCATGTGTATTATTATGAAATACATGGAAAGTCTATATATTAACTAATGTGTGGGTATAATTTCTGATTTCATCTCTTTCATAAAGTACAATCCAGAACCATTTATACAAATTTCACTATATTTCTTTATTATGATTATTCTTTTTTTCTTCTCCACGCTAATGTGTGTACTACATAATGTAGATAAAAGAAGAAGAAAAAGAAAAAAAGATAAATTGAAAATCGATGCACTTTTTTCATAATAGTTTAGACGGAGTTAGCTGTATTCTGCATGGTTCGATTGTGTTCTTTCCCTTTTATAATGTACAAAAGAATAGGGGTCGATACGACATCCTCCCCTGAATAATATTGATCGATTTGATGTCTTGTTAAAGATGAGAGAGGCGGACAAACGTTAATGATTTTTTTTGTTCGGAGTAGCCATAGTAATGGCATTTGTCTGGCCCCTTCCTAACGGTTGGATAGATATAAGACCCAGAGAAAAGGGTGGTAGAGAAAATACTGCAATACCTGGAATGAAATCGAGAAATGACGGGAACATAGGGGAAAGAGAGATAGGAAAAGATCTAGAGAAAGAAAGGAAGAAAGAATGTAGGAAAGGGGGGGGGGAGAGAGAGAGAGAGAGAGAGGGGGGGAGAGAGAGAGAGAGAGAAAAAGAGAATAAACGGACGGAGGCATAGTGATATTGAGATTGTGATATATAGAGAGAAAAAGAAAAAGAAAGAGAGAGAGAGAGAGAGAGAGAGAGAAAGAGAAAAAACTGATAACTTCGTTCATCCCTATTCCCCTTTCTCTCTCACTCTCTCTCTAAATCTCTCTCTCTAAATCTCAATCTTTCTATGCCTCCGTCCTTCTCTCTTGCTCTCTTTATAATGTCTCTCTCTCTCTCTCTCTCTCTTTCTCTCTTTATCTCAGTCGTTCTATCCCCCCGTTTGTCTTTCTCTCTCTCTCTCTATCTTTTTCTTTTTCTTTTTCTCTCTTTAATTATATCACAATCTCAATATTACTATGACTCCGTCTGTCTCTCTTGCTCTTTCCATTTCCTTCTCTTCTTTCCACCTCATCTGTCTGTCTCTTTTCCCCTCTCATCCTTCAGTTCTCACCCTTTTTTCTCCCCAGATTTCTCGAATGTCCTCACCACAGAAGATCATTCCGAACAGATCTCATCTCAAGCTTTATAGCCTATAGTCAGTTTTGTTATATTTAAAAAAAAAAGAAAATTGAAGAAAAAAAACAGCAAATTTTGCTAGAGAGGACAGTTCGTGGTGAGAGCGACGAATTATACATGTATCTTGTCAGGCATGTTTTACTCGACAAGTGAATGGTCACAAATGCTTTATTTTATCGATTTTTCTTTACCCGGCCCGCTATCCCACGCTTTTCTCTTTATTTGCTCTGTTTCATTTCATGTAAGTGGCACTTGAGGACTCGAGTGGCTTATACATGCATAGAATCAAACTAAACAATATTAACGTAACTTCGAACTGGTGTGAAATACCCCCTAACGGACGGCGGGCAGAGTCAAAGGTTACTTTTGGATATATATTTATAGTTCATTGAGGCAACTGTCTTGATATACCATCATTATTGTGTGAATGTGTGTTTACAACTAACTAGAGCAAGGGGGATTTGTAGAACCAAACCGCGTAACAGATATTCTCAAAGTGAACTAATATCATCTATAGACAAAAATCGTTAGGTTTGCCAGACGGGAATCGTGCATAATACCGCACAAATTTAATCTGCCAGCGTTTGAGCATTTCCTCTGAGTTTGGCATAATCTTGAGTTTTAGGATAAAGCTGATGGAACAGTGAGTGATTAAAACTTTTCTGACTGTCATGACATACGAGTGCTGACAGACTGAGACATTACGTTTACAGGGGCTCGTATACAGCTCCGGTCGATGGGCCATGCAATTATGAGGAAGAAATGTGCGGTTATTTAGAAGTTTTACCGTGCAGTCTGAACATACAAAAAGGAGGAGCTGCTTCTTACTTCTTGGATTGTGTCAACTTCAATGTCAAGTATTACATATTTACGTCGAATGAGCATCCCTGTTAATAAAAATAAAAACTGATTGATTGGAGGAAAAAAATGAGCAGGATCGAGCTATAAAGAGCCTTGAAGAAAATCTGTCGCATGCAAGAACTTGCTCACCAGTCAGCAGACCAATTCACGCTCGTACATGACTGCATTTTACCAATCGTTCATTTTCATACTGGATGAAAACACAGTCCAGCAATACGTAAATCTTAATGTGCGATTTATTCTTCATATTCGTCAGATTGACAAATGCAGTAGTTGAAAGACCTTTCAATAATTGATTCGCACTGGCAATGATCGAGGCAGACGTAAATTATTTTGTGTGAATTCGACTGTGTAACTTTTGACGGGTGATATCTAAAAGCTATGACACTGATATGAGAGAGAGGATCGTTACCTTGGAACGGAATAACTCCAATCTGTCAAGCAAATAAGACTTTTCTTCATGAATTCTTGATTTATTGAATAGTCATTTATTACCAAGTTAAATTTCTGGAAAAATAATTTGATGTGTCATCAAAAGAAGATGGTGTTCATAACAGTGAAATATGGAGGTAAGTTGATCTTAATTAAATAGCTCTGACATTACGTAATGATCTCGCGACACACTGGTTAATTAAACACAATTACAAACCATTGTTTATCAGTTCAGTTCATTAATGTCTTTGACATGTCTTTGACAGATCATGCAATGTAATTCTCTCATCTTTATTGCACAATTTGTACAACCGTGGCCTGGCATCAACTAATACGTACTTTTACCTATCATGCGGCCGTGCATAAGCGAAAATGATTTTTTTTTTTTTTTTTAAGAATTATTTTTCTTCCTAATTTAGGTGGCCTAAAATTGATTTGGCTGTTTGAGAAGAAAAAAAAATTCATTGTGTAAACTGTATTCTAAAAAAACCCATGGACCATATTTTAAACATGTCAAGCAGAGACCCCTTTTTCGTTTCTAAGAGGGAATTGAATTGTAACTTGTAAGTACATCTCGCTTCTTTCACATGTTCCTTTTATTGAACAAAGCGAGAACGACAAATCGATTTAAAGCTGTCGTTAAAACGTCTGCCATTATCTTGACGACCATTCAGAGTATATCCATAATACATAGACCAACCTGTATTAAGAATGGAACCGCCTTCAATTATCACTTAATCCAAATGTCAAGAGAAATAATCGGTTTATATATATTGGTTCCCTTCATAAGAGGTGTTAGAAATCTATTTTTCATATCGATTTTTTAAAGGGGGTGAATATTAACGTGTATAATTTAAGCCTCGACCAACCTTTAGAGGGCAAGCTTTTGTCCACTTCTGTGGGCTTTCTCAAGCCAAGTGATTATTCGCAGTGTCTTGCTGCCATGAATATTACATTTTCCTTTTCAAATAAAAGGCGTCTATTGTTTCCTATTTCCTATTTGCACTCTTTGATTGCAGGACTTGAAGAAGAGAATTGCTATACACGTTATCTCATTTGCAAATATTGGTAAACGTTATGACTGCATGTAATGAGGATATTAATGATAGCCTTATGACCCTGTAGATCACAGGGGAATCGCATGCAGGAATTTGTCTTTAAAGAAAAATTGCTCGCAGATTTTGTGCGCTTTGATAAAGCAAAAAAATTGAACAAACTGCGTGATTTGGCAGGCGTCGAAGTAACAAAAACATGATATTATGAAGATATTTTTATATTGAATCTATATATCAGGCATCTCTGATTTATATACAAACAATGTACATAGAGATGCGACAGTGTTACATCTATGAAAAGAACAAAATCTACTGAAAGGACTACAATCTTCATTAGAGATTTGTTTTGGATACCAAACTGTCATGTCCACAAAATACACTAAATTTCTCGAGCTGTGATTGTGTAAGACGTTCATCACCTTTAATACACACCACCCAATGCACATTTCTGTTGTTTTAATACGAATTCAAAGAGTAATTATTTTGAAAAAGATTGTAATAAATAGTTCAAGGTTCAAATGACATGACATAAAATTAATATATCAACGTGATCAATGAGTGTTTATATTAAGTTTGAGATGCTATGACGATTTATAGAATGAGACAACTGTTTGGTGTATAAAAGAAAATCTGTAGGATTTTTTTTATTGAATGAAAAGACGGATAGAGTAGCCTGGGAAGGACCTAAAAGATCATACTAAGTTTACGGAGCAGAGACAAATATTGCTCCAGAATAGTAGGGAAAAAGGAGAAAGTAAACGGACGAAAATAATTTCAATTTCCTACAAATTGTATAAGAGAACTGAACGTTTTGTCTTTCTAAATTTACAAAATAGGGGGGGGGGGGGAGGGTGACGCAATCCATTTTTATTTGCAAAGCAAGATTAAAGACGGCTTTGTATGTCTCGGAGATGTTATTTACCCCCAGGGGTTAGCATAGGATCCTCTTGAGGTACTTTAAGACGGTGTGAGAGGGGTGAAGTGGAGTAAACAGTGAACTTATTGATGTAATTTCGGAAACAGTGGAGCAACTCTCCAAAGAACTTGAGCAACTCTTATCTATGCATAATATAGGATCTCGGTGAAACGTTGATACAGTACCAGCAGTTTGTGCAGGTGCGGTGTAAAGCCCATCGCACACTCTACGATCTTTCTACGGATCCGATTTTGGAAAAATTTGCGATACAGCATTTGATGTGAACATTCAAGTTCTTAAATCTTAATGATCTGAGTAATCTGAATAATCATATGATTAATAACATCTTAATTCCGATGGATTTTAAGCTTTATTCCTTGGATGAGGAATAGCTAAATCGGCTCGGAGTCGTAGTGACGTCATACCAGCAGTGTGATCGTTTACGATTTAATGCCGATTCCGCTTTTATTCTGACAAGAATGCTTCAATGCACTATAATTCCAGTTGTAAGAATTCTGATTATCATTAACAACCTAAATAAGGAAGATGATGACTGTTTACATTTCCATATCTACCCCTGAAATTATAACATGGTGTTTGAAAACACTGGCTCCAACCTTTTAAACTACTATGAGTTTTAGGCCCGTATCAGTAGACTTTTATTTCCAACAACCGACTATCCAAATTGTCTTCCTTTAGTAAATCATTATTAGGGAAAGGGGTAGATTTTACGATTAGAAATAAACAGTGGAAATAAAATTTTAAAAATACAAAACAAAAACTAAATAAAGTAATGTGCTTAAGAGTGTGATTGGTTGTAGCAACAAGGGGCGTGTCCAGTGAAATTCATTGATTTAAATCTATACACAAATTCAAGATTTAGGCATCCATTAATGTCGGCATTATAACATTTAATAAAAAATGAAATTATACGAAACTAAGATATCATTGACATCCCTTGAATCAATATCGAAATAAGCTGAATCGTCGTGACATGTATCGTAAATGACTGTGATAATTCATAATGACATTTTTCCATCTAATCAAAGATCTGCTGCTGCCAAAATTCACCAAAAACATCCAAGAAATTACCGAACAGAAACTGACATCACAAAATAACTATTTTTCTCTTATCGACAATTTCCTCATATTTGTTTGACTATTTTTTTTGTATCACAGATAACCAACAGCAGCTCTTCAATCCCTTCTGCACCAGCATGAATCTGCTTGAGAGTATACGCAAGCAGTGTCATTCGTCAGAGGATGGAGGTGAGAGAAAGTATTGAAAAAATGGCCGGAATTTAGCTGTGGTCTGGTTTATTGGTTACCAGCGAGTTCCAAGATTCCGGCAGTATCTGTGTAACTTTTAAAGATTGGTTGAAATCCAAATATAAGTTGAATCCTGTTGATTTAAAGATCTATGATATATATTTAAAAGTTTTAATAACAAAATATGAGTTGTATGCAGCTTTGCACATCAACAGGATTCAACTTATATTTGGATGTCATCCGACCTTTAAAGGGAGCCAACACTTTGTTCAATAGGCAATTTTCGTAATGTAATCAAAATGTAATGCATAATGCGAATCTATTCAGCTTGCTGTTTCACAAATGTCGAAACAATAGTGCAATGCTGCAGTAAAAAACAACCTATTGGTAACCTACAACATCATTGTGACGTCACAGAGTAAGCAGCTTACATGCTTGGTCTAGTACCATTAGTAGAAAACAAAGAGAAGATAGAAAAAATAGTCTGAATGAAAGAAAGAGGGTGAGGTGAGGAAGAAAATAAAAGTAGGATGGAAGAATGAGAGGGAATATTGTAGGGCATATAATAGGTTATAGAGCGTGAGGTTCACTTATAAAATCCTAACTGCAATAAATTTCCTGTTTTGGATTTATCTTTCTTCTGTATCATCTCATGGCTCGAAAATTGATTGCTAGATATGTTATGTTGTCGTCACTTTCCTCTCAATTCACCATCGTGTACTCCGTTTTCAGTTGATATCCTCTTATATTTTCTTTTCATCTGGTTTTATGGCTTGCCTTATAGTCTCCTTCTCTTAACCCCCCCCCCTAGATATTCATTTTGATGTGGCCAAAATATATCTTCGTTTTTTTTTCTTCTACAAAAACGTGTAATGCAATCAGTCCTTCCATTATGTAATATAAAATTAAAACAAGTTAACAATAAATCAATGACTGCCCTGCGAGGAACGTCTAAATACGTGTATTCATGTATTCATCTACTCGTGATGTAATATAGCTGGATACCGTCTATGTTTCTGTTTACGTAATGTACAAATACGGGTGGCATTTTACATGCAGGGAAATGATACAGAGAAAATAAGAAATTGTATGGGTAACAGTAATACTGAAAACCTGAAATGTAATGCTGGGAATGTAATATCAAGAAGATTTAGATAACAAGGCTTATTATAATGGTATCGAAAAAGCAGCATAAACTGAACATTCAAAAGCTAGGCCGTCTTCATTATGTTGTAGTAACCTTGATGCAGTGTATTCATCAGTGTGCTTCGAAATCGATAATTAACGGTAATCGATAAATCACGTAGCAGAAGAACGAGCATGTAAACGGTCATCAATGATTATTTTCCTTTCAAAAGAGACACATTTATTTGTTTTGTGCATTTATGTGTTTTGTCCAAGGCACTGTTTGTAGTTCCCTTGGAAAATGTTTGTGACAAAGACTAGTGCAGTGTGTACAAAACACGAGGCTGCCCAAATATATGACGCCCATATGGAACCCGCCCCTTGTTTATCAATTTCTTGAGAATGAAACTCGATAGCGACGATTCCTATAACATACACTTTTTGCACACGATGAAGTATAGTACAATAATTGTATTTACATGTACGTGTGTGGACATATCACTTTAAATACAAGCTCTAAACACAAAATTTCGACGCGTTTCAAACCAAGGTTTTTTTGTGCGTTTCGCGTCGAAGCGCGTCATATGACGCACATAAACCTAGGTTTGTCGACAAACCTCCTTTGTGAATTCGGGGCTATGTCTTTAAATCGTCAAGGAAGACTCAACACAGTACAATGAGGTACGTGTACCAGAAAGTAACAGAGACAAAACGCTACCAAGCAAGGAAGGAGACTAGACGAAGACTTTACAGAACAATAACAGACCAGGCATTCGAGTTGAATTAGGCATACCTCACTTCACATTGCGATCAATAAAGCAGCATTTCCAGTAGACTCACTGTACCGATGTTTAATTAATAACTCCTCCTATATACTTGGCAGGTGTTCGCTAAATAATTAGTTGTGATTCGTTCTCTCTCTTTTCCCTGGCATGTTTTCTATTACCAAAGAAAGAAAGGACTTCATGTATAACGATGAAAAGAAAGAATGGAACGGCAGCTAGCTAGGATATGATGGAAGCATGCAGCAAGAGAGTCAACAGCATGGGAATCAATATATTAATACACCAGACGTTGGCATGCGAAGAAGGGAACAGTGCAAAGAAAAGATGGATATGAGTACTATTCAGAAGATAGAAACTGAAAATGCATCAGAACCCTTCCCTTTCTGTTTATACAGATGCTTTTCATGTTCACTTAAAGTGCCATGTTGACTGTGGTCCCACTTGATTGAAATAAATTATTAAATTATAGCAATCCCTGAGAAGCGTGCCCCCAACGTGGGGGAGAAAGCTTTCTCGTGGAGTTGTGTAAAAGTCACAGCTCCCTACTTCGATGCTGTACACTATTCAGAAAACAACCGGGTTTAAACAGTACCCAGCATGTTCAAGTACCCGTCAAAAAGTGATGTAGGGTTCACAAAAACGTAAAATTATCAGAGTAACGGATTAATGAAAATAATGAGAAAATCGGAGAAAGAAATAAAATGATATCTGAAAGTTATAAGATTAATAATCTTTAGTTTGCAAAACGGTCATGATGTTTGCTGTTATCCAAAAAGAGCTCTTTAAAAATAACAGGACCTGCGTAATGCATTATGTGATTTGTATATTTGTATATTTTATGATGCCAAATGTATTGAATTGAATTGTATTAAAGTATTCTATAAGGAATACTCTTTTGATAATGGAATATACTTTTCGCCCATGATACAATCATGTCTGTCCTCACACAAAAAAAAATAATGATAATAATCGAGAAATTTAGGTACAAAACAAATGAGAGATTGTGAATCCTTCCTCACATAATCATGACAGCGTTGCTAACAACGGATCCGGCCATGCAAAGTGCAAGAGGCACTGACAGTCACTGAAATTGGCTATCAGCTATTTTTACATACTGATCATTTCAACTTTGTAAATATTGTTATGGAAATAAAGAATTGAACACTCTTTTTAAAAATAACTTATACGATTTTTTTCTCTCGAATGAATTAGGTGCTCTGGAAATTAAAAAGAAGGAGGAAATGCTATCATTTGTTAATTTTCTTTTCCTTGTTTTTGAACAGCTACCCTAGATCTTTCGGACGGGTCGGGTAACGTGAAGAACCTTCATTCTGCCGACAACCTTCAGTCGTATGCCAACAGTTTCTTGGAGGGTCGTGAGACGTACTGGCTCATCAAAGTAGAAAGTGAGTACAAGATATACGAAGGGGCTTGCATGTGGGAGGGAAACTAATGGACACAGAAGATGTATATAGGGGAGGAAAAGAGGGATATAAAGAGTAAGAAAGAGAATTAGAAGCACCAGCAGAAGAAGAATAGTAAATAGAAGAAGAAGAAGAACGAGGGGAACAAGAAGGAGAAGAAGAAGAATAGTAAATAGAAGAAGAAGAAGGGAAAGGGGAACAAGAAGGAGGAGAAGAAGAAGAATTACAAAGAAGAAAAGGAGGAGAAAGAAAAGAAGAAAAAAAGAAGAAAAAAAAATGAAGAGAAGGAGAAGAAAAGAAGAAAAAAGAAGAGAAAGGAGGCGTTTTCATTTCATAAATGTATGCTTTAAAAGTGTCATTATCCGTCGTGTGCATCTCCTCCGCCCCGTTTGGATCATTATCTGCATGTAGTGATTAGTACAGATATCAAAGAATTTGATGACAGGCTTTGAAATGAAAATGCTATAACCAGACGTTTCCCCCAATAATTTGTTGTATTCATTATTGAACCATTAAGCATTGCTAAAGTATAAAGACTGCAAAATTGTTTGTTCGTGGTTTGATTTAAGCCAATCGGAAACGCACAGTTACATTGTTTAGACATAGGACATCTATCCACTTCCAAATCCATATTCTTTCCATTCCGCCTTCTGAGAAATATTATTATTCGGAAGTAACATCCTTTACTAATTTGAATGACTCAATTGAACACCATTCATTGTTTCAAATATTCTTCATTCCTTACAGAAGGCGCAACCAACCTAGAACCCACCGTGTATTCACTCCTTATCAGTAACCCAGAAGAAACCTGTCCAGAACTACAAAGTATGTTGATTCGATTTGTTTTATGTTTAATAAACATAGTATTTGAATCAGCTACAAGGAAGAAATAAAGAAGAATATAATTATTACGAGTATTAAGACTACTGAATTATGTAATTCCCATATACTTAACACAGAGACCACCAGGTTCCAGTAAGCAATGGGTTAAACAGGCCATTTTTCATAAAGTAACAACATTTTTACATATGCCTCTGTGAAGTGCCTCGATGCGCATTATTTTATCCACCTGTTACAAATAAAGGTATCTCAATAGTCAGAACTAAAATTGCATACATTTTGTTGTTGCTAGGTAGGACAAACATTATGGCCTGCCCTATATACATAACTACATGTATATGCAATATGCATTTTGACTAGTGAAATACAATTATTCGTAACAGGTGAATGAAATCATAATTTTGGTTACATAACAAAAATGGCACATTGCAGTTTTATCGTGGGAGCTCGCAGCAGGGCAACCTTTGTTTTAAAAGTATATTCAAAATTTGTTGTCATATGTAATGAGAACAAGTGGCATGTGTAATACATTAAATGCGTAAAGTCGAATACGACCGAATAAATCTGCCTTTTGGCTGCCCATTTATAGCTTACAAGATGACCTATTATTGAATCAATATTGTGTGATGTATTCCACTTTATCGTATCATTGAACCCCTATTCCTGATGCCTATTGTTTTATCAACTCTGACAGGTCGCCTGAAAGACTTATCTCGTCCGCCCTCTATGCCCAAAGGCAAGGAATCTTGGACCAACGTCCGCAAGAAACTCAACAAAACCAAATCGTCCCTCAACTTGGGCAAGTCACCAAGAAATGCTTCTGGCAAGGGGAAAAGATGATGTATACGATTATACAAAGAACATATCCAAATACCGTTCGGTTGAAATTTTACTAGCTGAGTAAATATTTGATTTTGCCTGTCATCATGAGCCTAATATGTCTCCATCTATTATGCTGAACTGTCGGCTCCATTATATATCTGGAAAATAAATGGACGCTCTTATCTTCAGAGGGAATGCGTAATCATTCTCCTCTTGATCCAATGTGAGCTGCAATGTATAGGCCTAAATTAAAAGCGTATTCAAATTACATTTAAGAGTATAGTTTTTTTTAATAAATATTTGCTTTTAAGTTTTTCTTATTTTTAAGATGTGATAGTAGTCGGATTACATACCGAGTTAGTTAGACTGAATAAACCTTTTGTTACTTCTCTCTGTTGATAATTTTGATAATTGGTATCATTTAGTATAGGTCACTCATACCGCAACCCGGCCAAAATTCACACTTTAAAGTGCTCTCCAAACCGTTACCTCCTATATCACTCGCTCATGATGCAATGGTGTGCAAGTGACATCCGTTATGTTATTTCCAGCTTTTTTGCCTCATCTTTACATTGCATTTAAATGATGCAAATTAAAAGTATGCTGGTGTATATTTGTAATCTCTCGATCTATTATACAACATGCCTGTGTCAAAATGTTCAGATTTGAATGGAATCCTCCAAGAACAGTTTGCGCTGAAATCTTTGTAGTTCATTATCATCCTTATAGTGTTTGATATTTTGTAGCATTATTTTTGACTAAAGGATTTGTCTGTACATAAAGGTTATGAAAATAAATATGATATATATAATACACGTTTATTGATTTGTTAAAGAATCGTTGCATACTTAAGGGGAAGCATCACATTGTAAGAAAGATACCAAGGATGTTCTGTGTATGTAGTGTTTGCATGTAATACATGGTAATGAATAGTGAACCTTTCATGTAAACATAAGAAAATGATATTTTAGTCTTCTAATCGGAACGAGTCGAGTTCTGTTTGTTTTTTCTTCTTCTGTATATGAGGTCTGAACTCTGAAGTTTAATCCAGCGAAACTATTACATGCAACAAGCCTAGCTTTTTAAGTTGGTTCAATTTTCATTTCCGTATTTCATGATTTGCAGAACATTCTTTCAAGTCATTAGTTACTACTATTCAAGATTATTTATTTCCAATTACTTTAAAAAATATTATTCTTGTAAAATGTATTATGTTTTGATAATTTTACATGGAATATGTATAAATGCAACCAATCAAACAAACAAATATTTAGTATTTAGGAAGTTAATTTACCTGGCTTTGAAACTGCCAATCAAATCTTGGCAAATACAAAATTACTATTCAAGATGGTGAATGACCTTTCTGGGGTTTTTGTGTGGGAAAGGGGGGGGGGGCATAAGAATGGACCTGGACCAGATGAGCCATATTTGAAGGTCATATTCACTAGACCCTGATGTAGCTATTTAACCGAGAGTTCTGTTAATGATGAAGCTGCTTTAAAAAAAAACTTTAAAACATTCTGACTGGTAAGTGTATTGAAAAAGACAGAATAATATGAAGAAAATCCACGACTTTCTGAAAGTCACATTCACAAAAGAACAGTAGTCATATAAAATGAGTTATCCAACTATTTGGGAATTTATCAATTATATAAGTCTTGAACTTTCAGTACCATTTTATTTTTGTTTCTGTCCGAATTTATCACTCAACACTCAAAAAGCAACATTACATTCAAACTCAGAGATAGTTTTCATGTTTTTAAAGGGAAGTCCACCCTGATATGAAGTTGGTTTTAATAGAAGCAAAACAAAAATGAGAACAGGACAGCGAAAGTGTGAGCAAAATCCGATTAAAAATAAGAAAGTTATGTATTTTGGAAGTTGCGATCAGTTAAACACAAATTGGCAACTCTGCGATGTATCTTACGTGGTCACTTCCAATTTGCTCTGTATTAAGAAAATTCAGAACTTTCTATTTTCTCACTACAGATATTTTAAATCATAAATGCACCCTAATTATAATTATTGTAGAAATGTTTTCATACAACCGATGTATGAAACAAATCATCTCCATCATTAATACCTAAGGAAATGTTATGACATTTTCTGTACAAACTGGAGAGGACCTTGCAAGATACGTCACAGTGTTTCCAATTGTGTTTCACTGATAACAACTTCAACAATTCATAACTTTCCTATTTTTAATTCAAAATTGCTCAAACTTTCAGTGACCCGTTTTTCTGATTTTGCTGCTTTTATTCATACCAACTTATTATCAGAGTGGAATTCCCCTTAAATCCATTCAAAATCACACATGAACAAGGTTTGTGCTTGTTTGTGTAGTGATTCAATAAAGGACAACAAACATAGACATAATCATCATTGCCCTTATAAGGTGCTAGCATATCAAATTTTATTCTTTTTTCTTGCAAGAGGTCAAATAAAATAAAGAAAATATAATATTTGCTTGTATATATATATATATATATATGTACCGTCTTACAAAAAATATAGCTTTACTTTAAGTTTCCACATATATTACTCACAAGTAGGCACACACTTTATCACATTAACCGGTATACTGTTTTGAATTCTTCACAATATATGTGATGTTCAGGATTGCATCTGGAACAAAGTTACAAAATAAAGTACTGAGTGCAACAATACAGTAAACATCATCATTATAAATTATTATAAAACATTGTAAATTCCTCATGAAGTATTGCCCCAACAATTTCAAAAATTCATCATTTTGTAATAAATCATATTTGTTCTATTCTCACTTTCTTTCTTACTCTCTCTTTTTTCTCGTTCTGGTTCTCTTTCTCTGTTTCTCTATCTCTCTCTCTGATTCTCTATCTATATCTCTATATCTTTCTCTTTCTCCCTCTCTCTCTCTCTCTATCTCTCTCTCTCTCTCTCTCTCTCAGTCTCCTTTTCTCACTTCTCACTTGGTCATACAAACAACAGCATTAGTATTGCTGAATAATCCTTTGGCCGTTTTCACAAAGCAAAATGGTCTTTGAATGAATGCCCATTTATCAAAGTACTGGTAAACATAAAAGGTGCATTAACAAATATGCCTGATTACATGAAGCTCAAATGAAAATGCACAGGAAATATCACACTTGGTTCATAAATAAAGTGAGACCTGTCTACAAAGACCACCCAAGGGAGTCAAGAAAAATGGTCTTTATGGGCAGGTTACTACTCGACGTTTTGGGCTAGCAGCCTGCCCCGCTGATGCCGTGAGGCATTTTTTATAGCCCTCTTTACTCATGGAGTATATTTAAAAATTATTGGAATTGCTTGCCCGTTTATAATCTTAATTTGGACACCATTAATCCCCATGGCCTAGGGCAAATGAGGTAATTCTGAGTTGCCCGGACATTACTTGAACCTTTAAGCAAGCTGTCTGCCCCGCTAAAGCCTTGAGGAATTTTCTCTAGCCCTCTATACTCATGGAGTATATTTCAAAATTGTTGGAATTGCTTGCCCGTTTATAATCTTGATTTGGACATCCTTATTCTCCATGGGCCAGAACAAGTGAGGTATTTCTTGGTTGCCCGGATATTATCCAACCCTTCGGGCAAGCCGCCTGTCCCGCTAAAGCCGTGAGGCATTTCTCTAGCCCTCTATACTCATGGAGTATATTTCAAAATTGTTGGAATTGCTTGCCCGTGAATAGCCTTGATTTAGACATCCTTAACCTTCACGGGCGAGAGCAAGCGAAGTATTTCTAGGTTGCCCGGATACTTCTTGACCCTTTGGGCTAGTTGCCTGCCCCGCTAAAGCCATGAGGCATTTTCTATAGCCCTCTATACCCATGGAGTACATTTCAGAAATTCTTGAAATGCTTGCCCGTGAAAAGCTTGAATTTAGACATCCTTAATCTTTATGGGCCAGGGCAAGCGAAGTAATTCTGGGTTGCCCGGATACTACTTGACCCTTTGGGCTAGTTGCCTGCCCCGCTAAAGCCGTGAGGCATTTTCTATAGCCCTCTATACCCATGGAGTACATTTCAAAATTGTTGGAATTCTTGCCCGTGAATAGCCTTGATTTAGACATTCTTAACCTTCATGGGCCAGGGCAAGCGGAGTATTTCTAGGTTGCCCGGATACTCTTTGACCTTTTGGGCTAGTTGCCCACCCCGCTAAAGCCGTGAGGCATTTTCTATAGCCCTCTATACCCATGGAGTACATTTCAAAATTGTTGGAATTGCTTGCCCGTGAATAGCCTTAATTTAGACATCCTTAACCTTCATGGGCCAGGGCAAGCGAAGGATTTCTGGGTTGCCCGGATATTACTTGACCTTTTGGGCTAGCTGCTTGCCCCGCTAAAGCCGTCAGACTAATTGAATAACAAATATTGAATGTTTGAATATGAATGTCGAATATCAATCCAACTTCACAATTTGAATGTGAATATCGAATATCCAACCAACTTCACGCCGGTCAATAGTACCGGTGTTCACAAGTCCTCAAAACAGATCAGATTATGATGCCTGGAATTGGAACAAGGGTGTCGATTTGTATCCGTGGTTGGGGGGGGGGGGGGGGGGGGGGAATGATAGGTGCCAAAATATTTTCGGCAATGGATCAAAGCAACCAAAGTGGTAGAAGCGTGTGGCAAGTTGCACCCCTCCCAAGCGCGTAGCCAGGATTTAATTTTAGGGGGCGGTAGTGAGCACGCGAAGCGCGGTTCCTAGGGGGTTGGGTGCAGGGAGGGGGAGTCCCCCCCCCCCCCCCCGCGCAAAGCGCGGAAGCTTTGACGTTTCACTAAATTATTAGAGAAAGAAGACGATTCGTTGGACCGTTCTCGACTCTTAATCCTTGTTTGAATCAAATTCCCCTTCCCTTCCCTTCCCCTTCCTCTCAAATTCCCCTTGGCTCTGACGTTTCATTAGATTATTAATGAAAGAAGACGATTCTATGTACCATTCTCGACTCTTAATCCTTGTCTGAATTCATTTTTGCCCATTCCTGCGCGAAGCGCGGAAGCTTTCACATTTTATTACATTATTAGAGAAAGGAGACGATTTGTTGTATCGTGTCCTTCATGAATTCAGTTTCTCCCCGGAAGCTTTAATGTTTCAATAAATTATTACTCTTAATCCTTGTCTGTATTCATTTTCGCCCATTCCGCGCGTAGCGCGGAAGCTTTCACGTTTCCTTAACTTATAAGTAAAAGAAGACGATTAGTTGTATCGTGTACTTTGACGTTTCATTTGATTATTACTCTTAATCCACGTCTGAATTCAGTTGCCCCCTAACAGCTTTGCCCTGTTCGCTAAATTATTAGAGAAAGAAGACGATTCGTTGTACTGTTCTCTATATTAATCCTTGTCTGAATTCAGTTTCCCCACTGAAAATAAATTGTGTCACAAATAAGTTGGTACATAATAATCTTTCTCCAAAAATGAAAAATGTTTTAGGAAATATCAGGAAATAAAATGAGTGAAAAAAATAAAATAAAGATACGATGACGTGAATTTTAAAAAGGGTGAACGGAAACAACATAACAACTAGTGAACTATTTTATAAGTCATACTAATGTCCGAAAATATTTCTCCTTGTCTCCGATCTCATCACGAAATCGTCACAGAGTTCATCTATGTTTACACTGTCCAGGATTGTCTGATGTGCATTGCAGATTGCTACTTTTGTGCTTCGCGCTTAACATTTAGCTCGTTGCTTTTGATGAAGCCTGATGAAGCCGTGTGAGCGAGAATTCAATTTATTCTTGTCTCATATACGGTTGTCTTATTTACTTCGTATATAGGGTCTATGTTTGTATTATGAAAATGAGATAGCAAAATGTGTATATTGATTGTCATCTTGCGAGTAATAACCATTAACTACTCTCATCGGACTCTCATCATTAATTTTTCTCTTCATTTATTTTTTATTTTTTATGGTGAATTATTGGGGGGGGGGAGGGGGGATGATTGTACAGGCCATTCCCCCCACCTGAAATATCGGGGGGGGGGGGGATATATCCCCCACCCCCCCCCCCCCCTCCAGGATCGACACCAATGCCTGGAAATCATTCTCAGTTTCAGATAATACAGCAAGTCATTACATTGGCATGGAATAAGTCATGTGCTGCAAATATTTCTGAATGACTAGCTCGTGCAAAGGAGCATATCAGATAAGAGAAACAGTTTTTGTGCGATGTACCACCGACTTATACTGTTCGCATTTCTGGGCGGAGTGCTCAGCTCTCCTACCGGAGAAGTTCAGGGTGACTCGAGAGGAGACGTCTCCTTCCTTTTGCCGAGTTCGCGTATTGCAGGGGATTCTCAATTGACCGGTCTCCAGTTCAATGTGACGACACCTGTACCTGCTACTCCTGGCCTTGACACACCTGTAAGATTCATTTTATGTTCACGTGGAATTTGGTTATTCAAGCTAGATCTATTTACCTAATAATTTATAATTAAAAATAGAATTAACAGTCAAAAGGAACAAACACAAATAGTTACAAACACAAAGTGATCAAGTCAAAAGACAAAACAACAAAATATCCAGAATAAAACAAAAACAGCATAATAATACAAATATTTCAACAGTGTTACCCAATTTTTATTCAATAAACTTATCAAACTAAATGTTAGCTTCTTCAAAATATGTTGTTTTATTGCTCTACTAAATGTTATAGTTAGTAGATTCATAGTTGGAATAAAGAGTGCAGTTCTCTGTAGTGTTTAATAAATAGACTCGGATGGTAATATGAATAATTGTTATGTTTTTATTCTGCAGTGTGAGGATTACCACAAACTCACTTCTTCAGCGGATAAATGTGATTTCATCCGGAAAGCTGATGATTGTCAGAATTCAGATGGTTTTGTCAACTATCTCAAGGTGATCTACTGCTCCTTCCCAGATGTACGACCTCTTGGATTTCTTTGCCTTGTAAGTTCCTAAATGATATACCTGGGGCGTGTTTCACAAAGATCCTAAGTTGAACTTATCTCTAAGTTGGACTTATCAATTATGGAAAGCCGTTAGCATCCTTGAAAATAGTTTGTAAAAGTCATTCTAAAAGCTTAGGCATAACATGTCGATTCAAATCATTCATATGTTCTATTATCATGGGAGATTTCATGTTCTTGATGTGGAATTTATCAATAGTCTTAAATACTTGAATTTTTGCTTTTGAATATATACTTCATTATAAGGCTACAATAATAGGCTCTCCATAATGTTGAAGTCCAACTTAGACTTAAGATCGGCTTAGAATCTTTGTGAAATATCCCACTGGTATGGTATTCTGAGATTCAATTTATTTTTAGTAAAATCTGTCATTTCATCTCAGTGAGATATCTTAGCCTTTGAAGTTATAAATCAGTATTCTGAGAATCGTAGCAATATTTATCTCATCTAAGACACACCCACACAAATTCCTCTGAAAGAAAGCAGAACAAAATCACTGAAATAGATGTGGAAGTTTTAATAATATATGCTGACCAATGAAAAAGTTTTGATTACATGGAAATGTAATATAATGTCCAATTTGATCATACTAACAAAATCACTAATTTACCTCTTTTCTAGGTTTTATTCTGCACATGCCAGTTTGAGCATCACACAGATTTCATAATCTCAACAACAACAAATATAAGCTTCCTATTTTAATGTCCCATTATTTTCTACCAACTTTCACCAGATTTTTCTCTGCATTTTCAACTTTTATGCAATTCAATTTAATACAAACACTTGGTTTCTTTTGTCTTTCAACGTCATCTTATTACCACATCATTTTTTTTAAAGACCTCTGCTCAAATAAAAAAAATATATATGTTACATGTATGTCAACAAAGATTATTAAATGAATGGAACTGAATAACACAATAGCAAACAATAACTATGTAAAAGCTGATTATCAATTTTTTTTTAGCTTTTTACCAATCTTAGTGACCAGTAGAAGAAGAGGAAAATAAAGAAAATATGTGAAAAGTTAAGATACATGTACATGTTTAGAGAGAGAGAGAGAGTGAGATTTTTTTTTTTTTTTTGGGGGGGGGGAGGGGAAAGGGGAGGGATCAAATAATTTTGTAGGTCAAATATTGTAAAACTGCTGGCTTCTTAAAACTCATTGATTACTGAATCCTGTCATTCCCATAGGCTTAATTAACCCTGGGACCACTCAGTACCTGTAGACAATGAGTTAAAACTTGAACATGATAGAATTAATTACTGGATACATAAAAGTTTGTAATCAAACATTTTCCTGATTTGTATACAAATATACATGTATCGTATGTATGTGAGTCATAATTTTTTGAGAATTTATTGCCCAATGAACAGCGAAAGGCCTACATTGTTGCCGTCACGTGCCTTGTTGTGGAAAAATTCATTGCCATGAAGTCTTGAGTTTTAAATAGACCCGTGACTCAGTGCTGTATCAGTGCAGTGGTGATAATGCTAAACTGCAATGGACTCTTGAATTGTATGTAATCAATCAAGAGAGAGAGAGAGAGAGAGAGACAGACAGACTGATAGATAGAGGCAGAGAGAGAGAGGGGGGAGACAGCTAGAGAAGGAGAGAGACAAAGAGACAGAGAGAGAGAAAGAAAGAAAAAAGAAAGAAAGAGAGAATAAAAGGCACACAGATCTATAGAAAGAGCTGGGAGAGTAAATTGTGTAAAACATTTAAAAGGGACAACAAATCCATACAAACATAGCATCTTTTGCATTATTTGAAACATGGATATAGAATGTAGAATGCTTAAAATGATGCTCATCTTTTCATTGTGATAGCACCCATTATTGTTAGCATTCGATCTAGAATATATAATTTGAATTTTAAATCAATTAATTCAAAGAAAAGAAGGTGTTATATTTAATATGCAGAGTTCGTAGACGTAATACAACTACACTTGTACATAGCAGAAAGTTGAAATAATTTCGATATAGTGTCAATATCTAAAGATGAAGAGAGTGACTGTAATATAACAGGATGAGCTTTATGCGGATGCCATATATATTCACGTTTTCTGCTCAGTAGGTAGCTAATCCAACACTTGTGATTATTGGTCTATATTTTGATTAAGAAGATTGTATTCTATTTTCTGAAATTCTAAATTGTAGAGGTTGATCTCATAGACTGCATGCCTAATGTTCCATTATCAATACACTCAGGGAGAAAAAAGGAACCATTGTGTTATCTTCTTCCTGTGATGCCAACAAACTGTGTGGCATCCATGTAGTAAAGTCTAGTTCAGTCATGATGGGATGGGGCAATGGTTAACATGCCCCCTGCCCCCCCCCCCCAAAAAAAGTTAAGGGTTAAATACTTGATGACCTTTAGACCACAATTTTCATGGTTGAATACTTGTTTAAGAAATTTGAAGACAAAATTGTGTGACTTCAGCCATTAATTTTATTCTTTACATTATTCTTTACATAATTATTATCGTTGATAATCGGTTATTTTTTATATTATTTTTGCCTCCATTGAAATTGAAAGTAAATCAGGTGATCCGGCTTCTTCTAAAAAATACATGCCCAACAATCTGTGGTTAGCACTTCCTTACTGTTTTCTGTAACATTTCAATGTTGCCAAAACCCGAGAATGGATCAAGAACTTCCTTGATTTCTAAATCTAAGAGGTAGTTGATTATCATAAATTGTGCCTAACCTAAAAATGAAACCTAAACTCCATCCCTTTATTCTAGAATTTCCTGTTCCGAACATAATATGAATGAAGTTTTTGGGTATTGAACACGTTTTGATTGATACTTAAAAAGCCAGAAGGCTATTTGTGAAATCTTCTTTATTATCAAAATAATGTAATGTGCTATGTAATTGATAATTGAGTTGTTTTATTTTCTTCACAAAGGGGCTCTGGTTGATCTATCTCTTGATTACCCTAGGAGTAACTGCAGAAGACTTGTAAGTGTTATCTTTTATTTCTTTTATCTTTACAAGGGGCAGGTAATCAATAAAGTTCTTACACAATTGTTTACATTCAATCCTACATGTTCATGATGTAGAGATGCATGTAATCGTATGAGATTCTAACAGTAACAAAGAGAAATTTGGGATATTTTAGAGGGAATTGAAAGAATTCAAAGAAAATATAATGGTTAGATTTGGGGTAATTTTGCATTTTACCAACCTCGAATTACCTGACTTCAAAATAGACTGGTTGAAATACAAAACTAATCTGTAGCCTCTCCTCTTTTGATAGTTCTAAATATATATGTACACAAATATGAACAGATTTAAGTACCATTAAAGAACAATACCGCCTTACCAAATGAAATAGTGAGTTTGTACTGTTGTAGTTCTCTGAAAATGATATATATTAAGATTAAAAAACATTAAAGCACATAAAAGTTTTGGTGTGACCACTGCCCACATATACTTTATTTTCTTCAGTCAGATTTCACTACTAGTTAATAGGGACTTTTAGATTTGCATAACGACAACGTGGATTGCTACGATCGACGTCCTTTTAAAGCACTGCCTTGAATGGACGTCACACGTATCAGTCCACGTAAATCTAAAAGTCCCTATTAATAGCAAGATTCAATAGTAAGGTTTCCTTGTATAACCTTCAGAGATGAAAGAAATGTAGCTATACACAATATAAACCCCTGATTATGTAAACATGCTTATTAGATACAGAAATGTAAAGAACACTTGGCTTCTTTTATTTTATCTGCCATGGCCTTTTATCTTTTAAGTGGGTTTTCCAAGTCACGTGTGTAACCCGAATGTCACAATTTCCCAGGTCCATAAATAAAGAAATCACACTTGAGGTTACGTTTTAACAAAATAACCTGGCAATGCCTTTATTAGCTCGTTGTCAATAACAACTGCAAATCAAGTAAACATTGAAATAAACAAAACTTCCACATCCTACAACTATAACATTATAAGGTATTATAACTTATAACTAGAACAGCTGTTATCTAAATATTTAAGTGACCAAATTATTAAATGTTCATAAGCTCGCTCGCGATACGCGGTCGATCAATATCCGGCGTCTCTGTGTCGTCGAAGAGGACGTCGCAGCACGCAGAAAACAAGAACAGGTCGAACGATAGCTTGAAGCTCGATGAGATTCATCAATTAAAAGACCCTAGTAAAAGAGCATAATAAACAGAACTCTTCTAATAAAACATTCCTTAAGAGAGGGAAAGATTAATATATATATATATATATATATAACAAGCTCGTCCCTCAATAGATTAAATTAAGAAAAGAATGAGAGTTTGCCTCTTGATTTATCTAATTAACTTTGGAAGAATCAATGCGATTCTTTCAACTTAATTTACTCAGTTATACTTATAACTTAGTTTAATTCATGATTAACATGATACAATCCTTTTCAAAATAGTACTTATACCACGTTAGTAAATATAAATAAAATACGTATACATCACAATAATTGCATGCAATGAAGATAGCATAATGCACCAACTGTTCAGTAGAGTTTTCATTCATATCATTATGAGCTATAATGAATGCGATAGGGATGCCACAGATAGATAGCTCGATCTATCTGATTGACCTGACCATATCGCTTGATTTAGAATTTGCCAAAATAACATTTGACTTTTACAATTAATGGAAAAGTCCAGCAATTGAATATGCATAATAATGCTCCACGCTGCGCATAACCATAATGAACAGCAAGTACACATTACCAGTAAATCAGTAGATAAGGTTAGTAAATCTTATCTACAACCAAGTATCTCAAACCACCAAATTTAGTGAGAGTTCAATGACCTCTAGCACGAGTTGCCATTACCCTAAATAAAAGCCAATTATCTTTCAGCATGGGCTATTTTAGGGCTCGCATGCTATGCAGTATAATAACTGCAAAATAATCTCCCATAATAATCTTTTCTTCTCATTTAACTGAATTGTTTGATCAGCAGAAAGAATCAATCTTGTATAACACACATCTGAATTAAAAAGTTATAGAATGTATGCTACAGTCTCAAACTACACTCAGAGTCATACAAGCAAAATATAGATATCATCATGATATACACACACTTCATACAACAGAGTAATGAAAACATACATAGCAAAATATAGTGTTCTTACCTAGTAAAAGAGCCAACACTTGCTTGCAACATAAAATCAGGAACTGGGATGATAACCATGCAACTCATAAAGGTTGAAGTTGGATGGAATGCCCAATCAAATATAATACAGGAAACTCTCTCAAAACTTAGAGAAACTTGAAGAAGGTAAAGTTGATATATATGTTTTGTATATATACACATATATATATATATATATATATATATATATTTTGAAGAAGAAAATCAGGTAGAGGCTACAGATATATTTAGTAGCACATGCTCCAACATGGAGATTGAATATATACAGGGCAGTGTTCGAAGCAATGGCAGCTGGGCAGAGAATGAGCTGGAAACTTAAAGTTTCAAAGTTTTATTAAACTGTCCAGACCCACATTACCCTTCCTTCCAACTAGACTTCTTATTGGTTACCTAACATCATGTGATAGGACCAAGCTTGCATCCTTAACTAAAACGACCCATCCTTTGTCTTAAACCCAATACTCCAAGCCAGCTCTCTACAGCATGGTCTAAAAGCTCGTCTAGATCTTTTCTTAGTACAACCACTTAAAACTATACTTCTCCTGAATACAGAGATTAACAGTAGCAACATCCTGAAGGGACACAATCTACCTGCAAACACCACTTAAGTAAAGAGGGTCCTATTAAAGGGAATAGACAAAGGGGAAAGGGCACCGAATTCTGTGGGAGACAATATAATCCCAAACACTGTGTCCAGTGTTATTGATGGTCAAAGCTCTAGCAAATAAGTTATCTACCAGCAAGAGTTCTTAAACTGGGAGAAGAAAATAATCTGGGTGAGAACAAACCTATATTGCACTAAACTGCATAAGGAGCACAAAGCAGAGTTTGTTTCTTAGAATGGAAGTATGAGATGAAAAGAATTCCAAGAAAGAGAGAGAGAGAGAGAGAGAGAGATAAGAGAGAGAAAGAGAGAGAGAGAGAGAGAGATAGAGATAGAAAAAGAATAAATAACAAAATATGATTTTAGTAACTACCATTTTTATGGGGGTTACATCCTCCCTCCTCAAACCCTGTTCACTCCGTGAACATAACTAAAAGGTAAAAGTTAGTCCAATTAAAATCCAAAAATCTTCAGCCTTAACCTAGCAAATAACCCAGAGGAGGTAGCCGATCGTGTCGTAGGATCGCCCAAATCATGATATACCATGCGCTGCGGCGGCTTGGAAGAGCGAGTTGAGCGTCGGATGGATTGCGGCTCAGAATCTGCGTCTGTAGCACTAGGTTCGGTGCCTGGTAAGACACCAGGTACATCGCTAGAAACAAAAGTATTCTCAAGAGATACATTACCTATTTGGTCGACGGGATCAGCACCCATTTCTTCGCCATCAGTATTCTCCCTCCTCAGAATCTGGTCCCCGTAACCTACCTCTTCGGCCCTCTGCTGGGGCTCTATCAGTTCAGGAGCTTCATTCAAGGGAAATAAGACTTCTTCATCACTTTCGATCATACTTACTGCAGGACTGCCATCTTGGATACTTCCTTCATCACTTCCATCTTCCACTATAATTGGAGATGGGATCTCAGGAATAGGCCTTACCCTATCTGGGACAAACTCAGGGGCATCCACACGGAGGCCAGGGGCAGGTAGGGTATGGGCTTGGGAGTTTGGCATCTCTGGGAAAAGTAGAGCGACACTCTCATCATCCGAGGCAGATTCATCACTTGAGTGACTCGGTTCGGCGGCTAGAACCTGTTTGGATCTAGTCCGATGTGATGGACCTTTACGGACTCTTTGCACAATGGGGGAAACGGTCTCATTAAAATACTCAATTGGTAGGAGGAGATTTCTATGGAGGGTTCGTTCTCGACCTTCTCCATTCTCCGGCTTCACCTTATAAACAGGCATGTCTGGATTGATACGCCGTACAACAATTTGTGGCTCTCGAAACCACTTGTCGGCTAGCTTGTGCTTGCCAGTCAGACCGACATTTCTCACAAGCACTCTGTCTCCTGTCTGGAGATCATTTTCTCGCACCTTAGCATCGTACCTTCTCTTGTTGGCCTCGGCCGACTTGTCTGACGCCTCAGATGCAAGCTTGTAAGCACGAGCGAGTTGTTCACGAAGTCCCTGGACATACTGAACGTGATCCGTGCCACTATGGTTGTCCGGACTCGTGCCAAAGCGCAAATCAACAGGCAGTCTAGCTTCCCTACCAAACATCAACAGGTATGGGGAAAAACCAGTGCTATCATGCTTTGAGCAATTGTACGCATGCACTAATGCACTTACGTACTTGCTCCAGTTTTGTTTCTTCTCTTCCTCAAGGGTCCCTAGCATACCTAGTAAAGTTCGGTTGAACCTTTCGGGTTGGGGGTCACCTTGAGGATGATATGGGGTGGTCCTTGACTTTTGGACTCCAAGGAGCCTGGTCAGTTCATATATGACTTTGCTCTCAAAGTCTCTGCCTTGATCGGAGTGAAGGCGTTGAGGCAGGCCATAATGTACGAAAAAGTTCTCCCATAAGACCTTAGCCACAGTCTTAGCGGTTTGGTCTTTTGTTGGGAAAGCTTGCGCATAGCGAGTGTAGTGGTCAGTTACCACTAGTATTGACTTTTTGTTAGAGCGGTCTGGCTCTAAGGACAGAAAGTCCATGCAGACCAGCTCCAACGGACTCGTTGTCTTGATACTAACCAGTGGTGCTGATGGGTGCTGATGTGATTTTCTTGCCACGCAACGGGGACAGTGCTTCACCCACTCTGTTATTTCGGCACTCATCTTGGGCCAGTAGAACCTGTCCCTAGCAAAGGCTATCGACCTCTCGATGCCGAGATGACCCACCTCATCATGAATGCCTCTCATAGCTTGCC